CGATATTTTTTATATCTAAAAGGGATAAGGGGGAAAATTAATGGATAAAAACCTTAGGGTAAATAAATTCTTATTTACGTTAAGGGAACTTTGGGAGATTACAAGCTAATATCTCTAATTATAAAAATGAGAAAAGAAAATTCATAGGTAACATAAATAAATTGTCTTATGGTTATCTTTGTGCCTTTACGTTATTCTATATTTTTTATTTAGGTATATTATCAGTTACCTCTCCCGAGGTTTAACAAAAATCAATTGACCACCAACTGTTAGAGATATCTTTCCACCTCGCCTGAGGTTTTTCAATTTATCAACATCCTCCCTTACAAACAGTTACCTAACGCCAAGACTTTAACATGAATGGGCAAATCCGTCTTTCAACAACTAAAAGTTTTTAAAAGCAAAAATTTAATACAATAAATATAATTAAAATAAAAAATCAAGATAAAATTTCTTAGATTTTGAAACACTGTCAAGATATAATCAGTGTGTTTGTTGGATTGTGAATGAATAATGAAACAAATTTTAGTTTTAATTTAATAATGCGTTGTAAATGTTTAGATTCTCAAATGGGTGTAAAACAATGAGACCCCAAACTGCTGTAAAACACCAAATTGGTGTAAAGCAATTTGGTGTGGCAACGGGTCAAATTTTGCTTCAACCAGACACCAAAAGCCATACCTAGCGTAACACTATTCATTCCCATCAAAACATCTTTTATTTTTTTATTTAATTTATATAATTTGTATTTATGTTCATTTAATTATTATTTATATTAATATTTATAATAATTATATAATTAAAAAAATGATGAAAAATTAAAAACAAAACCTCATTACAATACAGATATTGAACTCCAATAATTCAAAATAATTTAGCACTAATTTAAAAAATTTAAATTAAAAGAAAATACAATATAAACTATGGTAAAAAATTTAGTATTCTGGTACATTAAATTACTATCAATATGGAATTTTACTTTTGTATTGTTTTTTTTTTTTTTTTTGGCCTTTTATATTAAATGTAATATTTATTTGATTAAATAAAAGCTTAATTTTATTAAATTAGTATAATTTTCAAAGTTATTATTAGTCGTTAATTAATAAAATATATTATTCATAATATTTAATTAATATATACAAAAATAATTAGTAAAATAAATTAATTGTTGATAATTAATAGAAATAAAATATTCTAAGAAATAATCATTTTGGTGTAATGAGTTAGAGATAAAATAGTAAAATTGTGTGAGAGTTACACTTACACCAATTTATTGTTTGTGGTTAAAGATAGTGTAGATGAGTTTCAATTTCTGTGAACACCTTTTGAATGTATGCGGAGTGGAGATGAGCTATAAGTTATAGAGAAAAGTTGGTTGAATTTCTATGGACATGAGATATAATTTACAGAGATAGAGTTGGCTTGAATTTCGGTAGAGATGAGAAAGAATATATTTGTGAAGAGTAATACTAGTCTTATAAAGAGGCATATAAAGAGTCAAATCTAGTCCTTAAAATAAAGAAAAAAGAGAGAGAAAAAGACAATCATGAATTTCAAGGGTTGGATTTGACTCTTTGTATGGGTCTTTATATGCCTCTTTGTAAGGCTAGTATTACTCATTTACCAGTTTTAAAAAGGCTAAATAACATATACCTATCCAAAGTTTGCTGTAAAGACAAAGTGGTACCCAAAAGTTTGGAAATGACAAACAGCCACTTTTTATCATATTCTGTTACGATTCCCGTCTGCTAAAGGGCAATATAGTACTTTCATCTACACCCAAATTTTTTTTTAATTTTAAATCTCTTTCTCCTTATTTCCGTTCTCTTCTCTTCTCTGGTATTTCTTTTTTTTTTTTGGTCACTTCCTCCTCTCTTTTTCGTCTGTCTTTTCTTCTATCTCTTTGTTTCCCTCTTTCTTCTTCTCTCTTAGATTAAACCAAAAAAAGAAAAATTCAGCGGATCAAAGTCATAAAAAAGATATCACAGCCACCGGAAACAAATTCGGCGGCTGCGATCTTTGCTTTGGAACAGAAAGAAGCTACCACACTCTAGATCCGCAGCGACTTAGGGTGACTGCCTAGATCGTGGCAGTTCAAGGCCAGATCGTGGCAGATCAGGTGAAATCACAAATTAATCGCATTCTTCCGCCACAATGTGGCCGATTCCGGCAGCCACTTAATTTTTTTCTTCACTTCCTCCGCACATGGCGGCCAACCAGTAGCTGGCTTTTTTTTTTTTTTTTTTTGTGGGTCTGGAGATAAAGAAAAAAAAGAGAACCCATTGTTGGGTTGGAGAGAAACGGAAGGGAAAGAAGGGTTGGAATTGCTTTACTGTGAGAATAGAATGACCTTTAAAGTAACTCCCATCGCGAGCTTCTACCAAGAGCCTCCTCCTCCTAGAGTGGAGTTAAAGAAGGTAAGTTTGTACTTTCATCAAAGATGTAACCAATGAAAACTAATTTTCTTCTCTGAATTTTAGTATCATGGCACTTGTATGGAGAATGCTTTACGAACTATGTAACTTATAACAATTCATTGCTTCAAGTTGGGATATCATTAAGTGTGAATCTGATGTCGTTGCCATTTTCCCCTGCGTGGATTGATTAAATTTTATTAATAACATTAACAAAAAGGATGCTTGTAGTTTGAGTATGATCATTATTTGATAATTTTGTGCTCATACAAATTTGGTTTATCTGCTCCTAACGTTGATAGTTGTTCAAACAAGATCTGAATCATATAAATGCATCTTAATTGAAAGAGTGTGTTTTTTGCTTATTGGTAAAAGTTGTGCCAGAATTGATGTTGAAAATTTATTCGCTGCATAAAAGTGTTTTACGGTGGTTGTAGGTTCGAGTGGCACAGACATGCTTTTTAGTCTGGTGGTAGTTAGTTTGCATTTTGCTATGTTGTAACTTTTGAAGTTATCTCTGATGATCCCAGCTCATTAGTGTGCAGCTGAGCACATTTATTTCTCTTCGTTTGGTTAGGAAATCTAATTTCTATTTCTTGAACTAAGCAAATACTATGAGTTGGGGACGAAATTGAAGTAGTGTTTAGTTTATTAAAAGTCCTGGAATTTTTCGTTTTATTTTATTAAGCATTGGCCAAAGATTTAGCGTAGAATATCAGATAATGGATGAAAGATGTGCATTTATATATAGAAACCAGAGAAACATGGACTAAGGAGTTGGGTGGTTACTTTGGGGGCTAAGTTTCACTGGTTGTATTTACATTTCACTGTTGGGTTATGTTTATTTTGATTGGGAATTAAGAGTAGCATCCCTCTGGAGATATATAGTACCTCTCACTCTTGATGAGAAATACTTGATCTTTAATCCTTTATTTTCCTTTGCCAGTGCTTTGCATTTCCCCCATCTCAAATTTTCTTTTCCTTAAATGAATTTACTTTTAGGTTCTTGAATGCAGCCCAACCTTCATCTCCAATTATTTTGCCTCAGTTTTTGTATATATATTCAGGAAATATATCTTGATTACATGTTTGGTTCCCTAACCTAATATTGTCACAGTTCGTGCTCAATTCATTTTGGACCTGATGATTTGAGTTCAGTACAATTGATGTATTTCTTTCCAATCACCCTCTTTGCCATTCCAGTTGTGTAGCAGAATTGATCTGCCAGTTTACTGTTATGGGTACCAGGAGATATTAAGACAATTGCAATTGCTTTTTCCTTAACCTTAATATAATTTGATGTAGATACAAAAACGAGAGCCAAATCTCCCAAACTTGGTAGAAAGAAGACCTTGACTTCCGTGGATACAGATGGAAATGGTGCCCCCAGTACTCGACCAGGCCGACTAAGTCTGATGAGAAAGCATCTCAGAGCAACTCTGCCAAAGGAATTTCTCCTGTACAATCGAAAGCCACAACGGAAGTCCCTTCCTAAACTGCCTTCTGAAAGGAGCAATTTAAACAATTCCAGCAAGGAAGAAAAGATGACATCATCAAAAGCAGCAAATGAGGAAAATACCACTCATGACTGCAACAAAGGAAGCTGATTCTCTCATCCAGAGTCAGTTCCTGCAGCTGGTTCAGAAGAAACTCACTGGTACAGACGAGGAACCAGCAGTTGGGGAGCAAGATCAACCCACCTTTGTACAGAACCCATGGCATTGGAGGGTCAAGTTCATTAGCGGTTGGAATTGGATGCTTATACAAAGTCGTGACTTGATATTGCGTAAATAAGTAGGTTTTAGACTCCAACTATTTGATGATGAAAGAGTGAGAGGATTCTGCATTTGGTTGTGATGACATATTGTCCAGTTACCAGCATTGGTTGTTTGTTTGCTTGCTTAGAAGCTTGCTGGTCTTGTCACTTGGATTCTGCATTCCTAATTGAGCAGTGTATGTTATAATTTGCCAAGTTGCTATCCTAATTGATGTGTTTAGTTGCCGGCTTTTTAGATTTTTTTTTTTTTTTTTTTGAAAATTTTGGGTAAGTCTATATCGATTAGTGCATTATCACAGGTGTTGTTTGTTTAAAGGGGTTGCTCTTGAACAATTGGAATTGTCAGTTAAGGCTGATTTTGTGTTGTGGACAATTTTTTTCCCCTTTTGTGAAATCTTCTTTATGTTCATCTTTCTATTTCTGTTATAATGAGGGTTTTTCAAGGTTCCATTGAAGCGACTTCTTTAACCTGGGGCCCTTGGCTACTTGTTAAACTACCTTAATACTTTTGTTACATGTTTTATTCCTTAAGGCTGGTTTTGGATAAGGAGTGCATAACAGAACCATTTAATTGGTTCTATTCGGATTATTAACCTGTGGGTAAAATTGTAAAATGAGCCATCCCAATCATATGATGGGAGATAAAAGATGACCAATTAAAAACAAACAGAAGCTTATCCAAAAAAGACAACTATTTTTCACATTTTTCTAATACATTTAAAATATCAAAGACAAGGACATGAGAAGAAGGGAATATGTATGCGTATTATAAGTGGAGTAATAAAACACATTGAAGTCAAGAATATGAATAATAGGGTAATGAAGAAGGATAACCATTGAGGCCATATGAAAGCTTAAGAAATCTGTAACTGTAAAACAAGACAAGCACAAAGTGCTATTCCTTTAATAAAGTTTACTAGATTTATCTGGCTAGATATTTTTCTTCCCTTGGCGTTTGTTGTTGGGCATAGAATAAAATTTCAGTCTTAAGGATTATTGTTTCATCAAAGTTTTATTATCATCATCTATTCACAAAGGAATTAGAGAAATACTATGACGTTAAAATCACCAATCTATGATGCAGCTGTTAAGGGAGGCAAAAGATTGGGTTGTGTATTGCATTTTTTATAATCGTCGACTTGAAGATCATCATCTTCTCCAGCATCCCAGAGAAATTGAGCATAAGAAGCAAGAACATAGCTGCAACAGATTAAAATTAAAAGCATGTCTTAAAAAAATGAACATGAAATGGGATTAGATTAACATTTATTATCGAATTACCAGTCGCCAGGAGCCGATTTAACAGCTTGATCGTAATAACTCTGAGCACGAGGAGCATCCTTATAATTTTTCCATATCAAATCTCCATATAAAGACAAAACATTTCCGTCCCGTTCATCTTGCTTCGCTAGGATAGCCCTCTCACAGTACTCTTCCGCTTTCACAAGATCACTTCGCACCTGTATTCAATAGTTTTAAACAAAACAAAACAAAACATATAATAATCTAAATCACAAAAATAAACAAAGTAGAAATCTTTTACTGTTGTAATACAATATATACCTCTTTCAGGAATTTAGCATAATTGGCTAGAACAAGAGAGTCTCCAGGAAACTTTTTTATCATTCTCTGATAATAACCTTCCATACTCTCACTCCTATTACCAGACTCCCCGTCACCGCCACCAGCACCGCCGTAAACTCCTCCATTGCCAGCGCCAGCTCCGCCACAGCCCTCATCCAACACTAGCCCATCATGCAAACAATATGATGTATCCTTTTGCAAGCAAGTTTTTCCTTCTCCTTCAGCTTCTAGCTCTTCTTCTCTTTCAACTAATCCTTGTGATGTCAAGGGACTATTAAGCAAAATTTTCTTCTTAGAGAAATGAAGACACTTGAGATCGTCCTCTGATAAGGTTCTGGGAATTTTCTTGATGGGCGGAGACAAAGACATGGATATGGGTCTGGTGGTCCGGATCCGAACACCGAGATCGGGTTCTGGCGAGGAACGGAAGGAACATGGTTTCAAGATGGGTGTAGAAGCGCTTCTTAGAAGCATTATGTTGAGATGAAAGTTAAAGGTTTTAGCTTTTATTATTGCGTTGCGTTGTTAGGGGCTGAAGTGAGGGGTGGGTACATGCGGGTGCTTCATTTACGCGATTTCATGTTGGCTTGGGCCCGTCTTTACAAAAATCCGGGCGAATTGACTTTTGACTTTGAGATAAAATCGGTGCCTAGGCTGGATATAACTTAATTATGGAATAAGGCAATTCTTCATTAAATTAATATGGAAGATTATGATTTTCATAATCTTTTAGTAATTATAATTAGTTTTGATGGATTCTTGGAACAGAAGGAAAAGTCTAGAAGATTTTATAAAACAAGAAGATATCCCTTCCTTATCTTTTAAGAGAACCACCCAGTTGAAAATTGAAGTTTTTTACTAAGAGTCCATTTTCAAAGATTGGGAAAGATTTTTAATTAATCTCAACGAAACCTATTTGAATTTGTAACTTTCTTTCTCATCAATTAATTAATTTCAAAAGAGAGTCCTAATTAGAAGACATGACCATTGACCAAACAGATAAAGAGATGAAACATGAGTCTGAGTCTAAGGGATGAACACAAATTACTAATATCAAGAGCTTATTCCCACATTTACACTTCCAGGAGAGAAGATAGTAGGTCTCAATGTCATCATCATCAGCTTCGGAATTTGGTTCCTGTTAATTAATATCTCTAAGACTCAAAAGTATCATACATTTGTGCTTTCTCTTCTTTTCCTCCTCCTCCTTTCTTGTAAAAGTAAGGAAGTTTTGAGTTATTGGGCATGATGCCAATGCCATCTGTCTGAGTGCAGGTTGGAAACTCAGTCTGTTTTTTGGACTTTTTCATACTTACCTCATCTATATTCAAAAACAGCCCATTCCCTTTAATCATTCTGGGCCTTTGCTCCAACCCATTAGACAAGTTTCTTTCTACTACTTATTTCGCCCCAATCATACACGGGATCACACAAGACAAATGAATGAGTTTTCAGTTTTTTAGCTATGTTCCAAGAAAATATTAGCCATACCAAGACCATCCCATTTAAATCCCATGTGATCAGATTTGGCAGCAAACTTGAGAGATTTTATCTAGGAAGAAATATTATGGGAACAGCAAAATTATTAGGATAACATAACATAACCCAATGTCCTTCTAAAAAAAGAAAAAGTAATTAGAGGTCACATGGAGACTCATCAAATGATTGTTGATTTCATGAGGATATGCATTGGAGAGAGAGAGAGAGAGAGAGAGAGAGAGAGAGAGATTCTAGAGGATAGCATTGGCCTCCGAGATAATGCATATATTATTATAATTGTTGAAAATGGACTCTCTGCATTAGAGATTTGAGCCAAGTCAAAAGTGGAGAAAGCAGTAGGTTGACAAAGTCAAAAAATAGGTTTCAACGGATGCTCCTTCCAACCGCCAAAGATTTTCCATTACGATTACCTCCACAAGTTTATCATTCATAAATAAACTCTGCTTTTCAACCATCCATTGTTTAATTGCCACATATAACACTAGTTGCTTTACCTACAAATATGACCATTTTTATATTGGGATTTTGCACAAATAACTCTTTCTGACAGAAGTTCAATGAAATTTACATCAGTATATTTGGTTAAATGAGTTTGATTCCAGAGTTTTTTGCTTAAAAATCAATTTAATTAGAGTGAGACTTGAGTTTTTCATACGCTCGAGTCTTCTCTTGAGATCTGGGTTTTAACTGAGCCATTCACAAAAGACATCTACATAAATAGCCTTTATTTATATTATGAAAAGGCATACAAGTTTACATCACAAAGGGCGATTATTGATTTCATTACATGACGAAGCCGTTGCATAGTCTACAGTTGATAAACAAATGGAGCCTGTAAAACGATGGAACTGGTTAAAAAAAAACAACCGACAGGTTGTCATGGCAGACCATATAACTCGCTGCCACGGCCAAGCCCCACGACCACAAGGCACCAATATTCCAACTTTTAAAACCAACGGAACAACGACTCTAAAACTTTTAATCCGCCCCTTGAGGAAAACAAAAGACCAACCAACCATCACGTTCAGATATGATATCGAAAACATGATCAGACTCGGTAAAATGACTTTAAATGAAAGCTTAGCCCAAGCATATATAAGAAACAGGACCAAGCTAAAACACGCGATTGGAGAAAGTAACCCAGAAACAGAACTCGGTAACTGTATTCTCAGGAAATACGGCCATGAATAAAGTGACACCCACTATCGGGGTCAAAAAACTTGCAACAGATTTCCACTCAGCGGAAACCTGCAAAAAGAAGAATAAATATGGCCAATATGCTTCCTGGAAAAAGAAACCTGAGTACTGGAAGATCAAAGACCCATAGCTGATGGACCCAAAAACTACATTAACTGCTGCTACTCACAAAAGCTGACTAGAATTCTGAAGCTTCCTGATTTACTGCAACCCGACCCTTGGCATCTGCCAAATTAATTCATCGATGGGGTTTCATCAAATCCTTCCCTTGTTTACGAAAGGATATCGCACCTCCACAACTGCTCCACAAGAATGTCAATTGTGCAGCTGCTGATTGCATTGCAGTTCTGGAGGTTCAATCCCAAAAGGGTTTGACCCATCTTCCTCAAAGCATTCAAGCTCTTGTCTGAAATCAAGGGGCATCCTGACACCGAAAGGATCTGCAGGTTGAGATGGCTTGCTTGAGCTAGGGATGAAATTCCAAAATCAGTGACTGCACACTTTGAGACATCAAGATCACTGAGAAGCAGGCAGTTATTTGCAATTGCCACCAAGCTTGCATCACTGATCTGTCTGCAACCATCAAGGTTGAGCATTTCAAGAGTCCAACCATGCAGATCAGTCATGGTTGAAACAACTTTGTCTGTCACATTCACACAACCACTAAGATTAACCTTCGCCAGACCAGTTTCAGAGCTTTCAACTAGAGGTAAAACTCCAGCATCTGTTATTCCCTGAAGCCCACTCAAATCCACATGCTGCAACTGAGGGCACAACTTCCCCAACACAGCCAGGCTTGCATCACCAAATCCAGGGCAGTTACGGATGGACAACGATATCAAGGATTTGCAAGGAGCCAACAAAGGTACTGCCAGATTTAGGTCCTTCATCCCCAAGCAGCTCACTAGTGAAACGGCCTTCAGTTTTGCACCACAGTTCAAAAGAGAACCAAAAAACCCAAATTGGGTGATCCTGTGGCATTCCTCCAATTGAAGACTTTCAAGTGATACTGCAGCTTTGGCAAAAGAGATCAGCCCATTGTCAGACAAGAATGAACATTTTCGGAGGCAGAACTGTTTTAAGTTTGGGCAACCCTTTCCCACAGCTTCAAGGCCCAGATCTGTTACTCCTCCACAGGATGTAATTGTCAAAGACTTTAACTTCTGCAACCCATGACCACCACCCATGACCCAGAAGCCTCTCTCACCCACATTTGAAAGGGCAGTGAGGGTAAGATCAGTTACTGCCTTGCCATAGTGTCCAAGAACAGCAAGTGAAACATCAGTGATGTTCACTCTTTGAAGCTTCACTTTCACCAGGGAATAACTGGCTGAAGACAACAAGCTAGCGATTCCTTGATCCCCAACAAGAGGGCAGTCTTTGATTGAAATGGACTTTAGATTGGGGCAGCATTGCCCAATAGCTTGCAGACCTTCATTCCCAATGCTGGAACAAGACTCTATGGTCAGATCAGTCAAACTCGGGCAGTTCTTTGCAACTGCAATCAAAGCCTTGTCAGTAATAGCAGGACACTGACAAAGGTCAAGCTTCTCTAGCTGGTGACATCCACTAGCAATCTCAGAAAGACCATCATCCCCTACAGAAGATAGGTTCCAGAGGGAGAGAACCTTTAGAGATGGGCAGCCACGGGCAATGGCCCCAAGGCCAACGCTCGTCACACCACGACTAGATTTGCTTCCACGGATAAAAAGTTTTCCCAATCCTCCACGATTAGCAGTTCCAACAGCCATAGCAGCAAGTCTTATATCTGTAGCCTTCTTTCCTTCCAGGCTCCTGGAGAGGTATCCATCATCCTCAACATCCAGATCTTCAGCCTCAGATGCTACTTCAGCTTTCTTTTCAAGAATCTCAGCTTCAGGCTTTGAAGATCTGTTGCTAAACTCATCTCTGCGGATATTGCTTAGAAGAGTAAGCCAGCGCTTGGAAACACAAGCACAGGCACTCTTCTCCTGGCCTCCAGGCAACCGTCTGAAGATCTCAAAGAGACATTCATCAGGCAGGACTTCAATAGAGACCTTCTTCTTCTCAGATCTCTCTTCGCTGAAAACAAATGGAGCACTAATGCGTGACCTCTTGCGAGGAGGAAAATACACATCCACATGAGAACCAAGGGACAAAAAGAGGCTCGACTCCTTGGGGTTTGGGTATATTGACCCCCCAGGGCAAAAATCATCATTACCTGAATTAAAAATCAAAATCTCAGATAAGCGCAATAATACAGGCAAAAAAATTTCCAGAATATTGATAAATACACCGAAAAGTCACTATCCATGACACAAGGTTTCAACACCATACTACCATCTTTCAGAACCATCAACGATTTTATATTAGTTTCCAGTTATCAACCATATTATTCGTATTTGCTCAAGATTATGACCAGTTATCTAAGGCTTCCGATCATAGGAAATCTAGAAACCTCCTCTACGAGATCCACAAAAAACAGGGTTAATCACATGGTTAATCACATCCATAAAATTTTATGAAATCTAATTTAATCTGATATGCTCCAACAAATCCACCAGTTTATAACAAAACACTACCATAACTTAGGTGATCACAAATAACCTATACGATCTACGTTTACATATCAACTCAACAACAAAAGAACTTTCAACAAATCAAGGTTCATAGATCTGATCCACAACGAAACCAATTAAACAACAACCTAAAAATAACAAAAACTAACATACCCATGTACAAATTCAACAATAAAATTTTTAAAAAAAAAAAAAAGGAAATATTAAAACTTACCAGAGAAAGCAAAGAGCTTAGACATGGGTACAGCTCAAAAAACCCCGGGAGGTAAAATCTGAACTGATCCTGGCCCAAAAACCCTCCAAAGAGAGCAAAAAAGAGAGACCCGACGAGGATGGAAACCGCTACAACACCGTATAGTTGTTGAAGACACGAATGCATGAGAAAGATTAGAGCTTGAAGGAGATGGAAACCCTATGAGATAGGGCAAAAAAAAAAAAAAGGGGAAATCAGAGAAGAGAAATGATTGAATGATAGACATTTGTTGTAAAGAGTGGTTTTTTAATATGAGTGGAGTGTGGTTTCGGTACGTGACAATACACGCAAGAAAAACTCACATGCAATGTATTTGTTCGCATAAGTGGGGTTTCCTTGTTATATTCCCCCACCCTATGAATACCAGAAACCAGGTAGTGGTTTTGTTTTGCTGTTTCCTTTTTTGTGAACTTGGTTAGTTTGGATACAGGGTTAGTATAGGGTAATTACCATCCCTCTGCTCCTCTACATTTTAGAATGACCCGCCACAATTATTTCCTTTCTTAAGAATTATTTCTATTTTAAGTATTTATTTTTATTTTGTTAAGTAATAACTAATAACAATGCTTAAAACTGAAATTCAAAATTATCAATTTATATTACTTTCTATATATTTATTATGACACAATTGTTAAACATTCTAGATCGATTATAAATGATACCAAGTTATTTAACTACTACTAGGTGGAGCAAGGTCTCTTAAGTTTGATGGTAAAAGAATAAGAGAAGGATCAAGACGATTTTATGAATTTGAGTCCCCACAGTCTCTAATAAGGGTGGTCACTGAAGGTCTTATTCAACCGAAGTTTCAGAATCTAGAGGATTAATTAAAGTACACATAAGATGACCCAGAAATCTCCAATCATTATATATATATATATATATATATATATGAAGTAATTTTATTATTATTATATATATGATTAAAATTAAAAGGTAAGTATTTAGGTTTATTTTTCTACCAAACATGCCAAAATATAACACGTAATTTGATTGAATATAACAAAAAAAATGTTGTGAGTGTTACCAACATTTGGTACATTGGCATTGAAAAATGGTGGTGGTGAGGGAAGGGTAAAATTAAGAATGTGTTACACACTAAATATCATGTCCTTGTTTTGGTATTAGTCAAATAATTCCAAGTAATGCACGTGTAATCCATCCGTTTCAACAACTTGGAGATTTAAATTACGTACGCTAATACTTAGATTTTAAATTAAGCAACTAGTTTTGTTATTTAATTGGCCTAAATATAGCATTACTGATGCATGATGAGGTCCCCACCATTTCCATTTGATATAAAATTAAAAGAAGAAAATGAAATGAGCAAGTTGCAGTCAAGATGTTCCCAGGTTCACTGGATTTAAGGTATGCACTTGTATTATTAACTATTCTATTTCTTTCCTTAATTCTACCAACTATTCCTATTCTATGCAAATGCAATGTATTGTATATTTTTTCTCTTAATTACTAACAAAATCTCACATTAATCAAATAGTTTAATTTGATATAGAAAGATTTCATGGTCCCAAATTGTGGTTGGTACCACAACTAGTAGATTGTTACAGGATTCTTTTGTTTTTTTCCTACATGTGCTCAGCCTTATGGGAATTTCTTCTTCATTACCATTTGATAATTGACTCCACCTTGGACTTGACTTGAGAAATTGCACGGAAATTTCTATCCAGAAAAACAGGTTAACAATCTTCTTAAATACTATTTGTCAAAACAATCGGATTAGTTTAAACTTTAAACAGGTCTGACCCACACCCACTTTCAATGTTGGAGAAGGAAAGGCAAAGAGATGAGATAATTTCATTTGGAATTGGACTAAATACCAAAAGAAGCAAGCTTTTTCACACTAACTCAATTATAATTTTATCTTTAATTACTGTATTATTAATAACACAACACATCAATCATGTCTAATCTATTCTTTAACATGATCCATAAAACAAATACAAAACACATTGCTTCATATAGTCGTATGGAGTTGTTGAATCTAGGTCCATTTTGGAGGCTAATGTTTTTAATTATATTCTCTCATTAAGAAACTTCCACCTGGCTTCATCCAGGACAATCATTCAGTTCCTGATAAGTTTAATAATGAGCAGAGATGCCTTTGTGTACACACAATTTTGAGGATTATGTTTTCTTTTCTTTTTTCATAATGGCCTGTAGAAATGAAGGTAAGTTTATGGATTCTGGCCCGACTTTGTGGGCAAACTACATCTCCTGAGGCCAACCCCAGCAAGTGAAATGCGGAAAAGGTTGATGAACAGTGAAAAAAAAAAAAAAACAGATGATACAATGACCAATGAAACAAATCAAGCCTCATTAGGTACCAAAGCCTTACAAGAAAAAAGTGAGAGAATACAAAGATCAAAGAGATAAAAGTTATGTTTCCTCAGTCATACAAACCCTCCTGCTCCCAAACATCAACAAGAAAATCCACCATTTCCTGTCAATATAATATGCAATGAGCAGTCATCAACACTCGAACAGTTTTGCTAGCATTAACAATCGATAACAACTGCAGAAAGTGAAGTGTACTTACCGGGAGAGGGACTGGCTGGGGAAAGGGCTTGCTAGTTCCAAGTAAACTCTCGTAAGAAGCATTCCAACTGCGAAACACAGTAGTTGAATCATATGTGGAAATTTGTCACAAAATTTTATAGCCTAGAAAAAAAAAATCAAACGATTATAAGGCTTGCTTTGAATTGCATATTAGACGTTGCATCGGAATGTGACATGAAAATTTTGAGTTATTTAATTAAGGTTCATATGATATAACAAAATCTTGGTCAAATGACAGTGGATAATCTACCCTGAGAAACATTTATCCATGATTAGAACTAAAATCTCAGCAAATTATAAGATATGCATAATAAATACGTAATGCAGAGAAAAAATCTCTGCATTGTTAAGTCTTGTGAAGAGTAAACGCTTGATATTCAGTGTTGGTAATAATGAAATTTATGCACCTTATTGTAGGTTCTAGAACTTGCTTTCGATTTTGAGAACTTTTATTTGCAAGCCATTGTTGCCGTGTCTGGTTCCAGAGAAGAAGACCTGCACCCAGTGAAGTTCCACAGTTAAGGAACTTCATTTGACAAAATGAAATATAAATGAAAAAAAGAACAGAAGAATGTAAGAAGAGAAAGAGGCGCCCATAAAAGCAGCAATAACACTGTATAAACATTGGGCAGTAGCACATAAAAGAGGATCCGCAGCTATAGATTGCACCCAAGGTATAGAAGCAGAGAAGTAAAAATCAAATTGATGGAATCAAAACAAGGCAGCTATAGATTTCTGAATGAATGCAGAAACACAAGAGAGAAAACTGAAGAGAAAGAAAAAATCCAACCATGTTTCCAAGAAAATCTATCAAGTTATTTGGGCTTTTCTTTTCCTTCTGCTCACTAGAATAAACATCTAGAAGTTTTTTTATTTTTTTATTTTTTTTTTATTTTTATTGAAAACCCCACAATAAGATCATTATGGTTGTATCTCTAAGCATTATCAAATTCAAATTGATTAGTTCAATCATTACAACAGATACAATTATACAACCAAACAGCAGCCCCCAAGTGCTCGATCAAACCCCTCCAGCTATGGAAATTAAGCAATATCTAGTCAAGTAGAGAAGTTCAGAGTAACATGCACATGCAAACGCACATTCGTATGAGGAATCCAATAGTCAGCCTTAGTAATATAGACAGGTAAACTCAAAGCAGTAGAACTTGCCATGATTTACAAATTCAGAAGGATTGCTTGTGCTACCAGCACCATTGACGGGATCAAGGGATTGGTTTGATGCACTAATTGATGACATGGTACTGGACTGAACTGCATTGTTGTCCATCTCACCAGTGCTTGAGCTCCAGAAATCGTCTATGCTCGGTTTCCTCACTGTTCGGCCTTGAATTCTCAATCCCTTTGATGGCTCATCCACAGCAGTAATCAGTGTGCGTTTAGTAAAGCATCCAAAACAGCCTCTGCTCTGTTACAAATCAGGTTTAACCACAGACATGATTAGTACCAGAAATCAACAAGTCAATCCTCAATCCAGCATCCAGACAGGAAAATGGTTAAGTAAGATATGAAATGATGTGACCAACAGCTAAAAAATTTGTCATTCTGCCATAGAAGCCTCATTCATTTATGTGCACTCAAAAGATATTATTTTTCATGATAAGAAATAACAGTAGATGAAAGGAAAGGAAATTAATCACATTGGGAAATACTGTAAACAGAGAAGCATTAAATCCCAGAAATATTCCGATGATGCTTGACAGTACAGCTCTCATTCCTACCACTTAAAAGATTGTATCTGTTTTCAGGATATAATTCATCATATTCTTTAGCTTTCATTCATCCTAGTCTTTTAGTTTACACATTCAAATTACCTTTCCCCAGTATATCTTATGCTCACTCAGAATGACAAAACTAAAAGGTTTACTTGAAAGCCAATCAACATCACTCTGCCTTCAGTAAAATCAAAAGTTCAATTTAATAAAATTTTCATGATTGAAATAATTTCTGACTATCTCATTCAATAAAAAGAAAGGGAAGGAAAGAGAAATTAAAAAAATGTAGGCTAATTCCATAGAGAAGAGATAATTCTAGTTAAACAGGACATAAAAATGGGCCAAACAAAAAAAATTCATAAAATCTTTCCTCGTGTACTTGTTTCAATTGGAATAAATGAAGCCTAGATCATATTAACCATATAAAAAAATAAAAGCATCCAGACTCACACCATCTGATCTAGATTTCAATTCAGGTTAGAAGGCTGAACACATAGCTACGCATGTCATCAAAACTGAACTCTTATGTAAATATAACTAAGCACATCATTAAAAAATAAAGCAGTCCATTTTCAATCAAATATAAAAAGACTAAATTAGAAAAGAAAAAAGAAAGCCAAAAGAAAAAATTTCTCACACTGAAATGAGCCTTGAATTTGTTCCTAAATGATTTTAACAACCAATGTGTAAGTGTGCGGATATAAGCTCCAGAAAACAGAACAAATGAACAACATGGTTTCTTCACAAAACATCTCTCCATTTGAACCGGGAAACAATATCTAGAATACATATCTCCTTATAAATGCCAAAGCAAAAGCATAACCCTATGTGTATTATATTGTATAGTATAACCAAGTGCCCAAAACTTGAAGAAAAGAATGGAAAATTTAAAAAAGTGCCAACACGGGTCCCTTACAGAATAAGCAAGCACAAACACACATGATTCCACACTAACTAAAAACAAACTTAAACAAAACAAATAAACCTTATATAACCGTAAGTTTAGTGACTCAGAAAGCTAAAAAAGCTAGACAGATTGAAAACTTTAACTCCTAAGCTTCTGTTATTCTTTAATCCACGAAAAATTTGCAAAATCCTCATGATTTGTTATTGTTGGGTCCAAAATTGAAAATTTATGATTCAGTTTTCAATCTCTTTACACTTTCTGGCTACCTTTTCCCACCAAAAACAGTTGAAAGTTGAATAAGAACCAACTATTTCAAACTTTACCTTTCCGTTCAATTTCCTACATCGCCTCTGCATTCAAAGATAGAATCTAAAACTTAAAAATTCAATTCCCTTTTTATCCCCAAAATTTCTCAGAAACAAAACACAAGCAACAACACAGAAAGGAAAAACATAATATATGTATACATTTGTATTCTACATGAATGGAAACGAAATGACTGACCCCATGCATGCAAAAAGATGACAGATCCAAGGCGGGACGTATCTACTGAATTGCATTTAAAAGCACCAAACCACAGATCTTTGAAGCGAAGCTTTATATGCAGAAAGGACGCTCATCACAATCCTGCAAAAATTTAACCAAAACCCATTTAAAAAAAGGAGATAAAATCCACGTAGCGAAAAATAAAAAAAGAAGATAACAAACCTCAAAAATGGCATGATTGAAATGGGATTCCTTTTTGGGATAGTCTCGTCTCTCCTGCCTGCAAAAAGTTTGTTGCTTTGGCCCTCTGGTTCAACCAAAGGGCTCCCTCACTTTCTCTCTGTTCTCGGTTTATTATTATTATATTATTATTTTGGAATTTATTTATTTGTGTATCTGGTTGAGGAGGTAACTGTTATTTTTGGAAATAAAAAAAATAGAGTAACGGCTGTTCCCACCCAAAAAATAGCCCATGAACAATTCATACCCACCCACATTTTAAATACCATTTCAGTACCCAAAATATAATTTTATTAGTAATTTTTGTTGTCAAGAAGGGTAAAATGGTCAAAATCCCATAATTAATGAACGCATACTGGTCACCAAACAGTGGTTGCCAGAGAAGAAGAACGGTGCACGTTAGTAGAAGATGGTGCATGTTAGCAACGTCAAATCCGACAAGGTTTTGCCATTTTTTCGGCAGATCTCGACGTTCAAAATCACTTCCGACACCACCTAAAAATCCCCATCACCTCCTCCACAAAGCCCAAGCCTCCATTTGTCGTCATCACTCACCATTTCCCACCACCACCTTCATTCGCACGGTCGACTCTTCAAGTCGGATTTCCGATCGATTTATTTGTCAGAAATTCTCCAGACACCACCATCACACTCTCCACAACCCATTCTACAAAACTCTTACCTCCATCACTGTTCCTTGCCTGCCAATCGCCGGCCGTGAACTGCATGACCTGTCAACTTCCAAGCCAATTTCTGGTCGTTTCTGACGTTGAAAATCGTCCTTACCACCACCAATCGATCCCTGAATCTTCCTCTCCAAAAGGCCTAACATTCTCGATCCCGTTTGCTCACCAATCGTCGACGATTGAAGCTCCCCACCTTAGTTTTAATTGAATTAATTGGGTTTGATTCGTACCATTTTTGTGTTTGTTGAGTTGAAATACAATTAAGGAATGTTTGTTTGTTGATTTTTTGGTTGCTGACACTCCCCAACACTAGCATCAATTGTTGGCAATGGAAAAGTTTGAGAAGAGAAGAAAGAAGAGAGTAAATCACTTTGTTTCCCACCCAAATCAAAGGATAACCTAATATTTGGGTAGTAAATGGGTGTTTTAAAAGTTTGAGGTGGGAAAATGTGAGTAGGCCATTTTTTGGGTGGTAACATGTCGTTAACTCAAAAAAAATAACACACTTGAAAGTAAGGTACATCTGTTGTTGTTTGTACTTGGCTTCAAGATTAGTGTGGGGACCGGCGTTGGATGGTGATTAGGATTCACCAATAAATGAGATTGAGTCGATTAGATGGATCATTTTTCTGAGACATGTTTGAATTAGGCCAGTGGGTCTGTTGGTGAGTGGAACATGTCAATTGAATCTATGGGTTGATTAAGCAGGCTTGATTTGCTCAATTATTGAGCAGGACCAATTGTTATATTTGTGGTGAGTCGTGTTGTTGTCAAAACCATACACCACATCATAAGTTGTTGCTTATAATTAAACCAATGATAACAAAGTCTTGATTAAGATATCATCCAATTTGAAACCACATATACTTTTACCACTTCATTTCAACCATTCAATTGTTTTCTGAGCAATGAATTCAATTTGTTAAATCTCTAACTAAACTTCTGTCTTCCCAGTTCCCACACCTTCATTGGCTTTCTTCTTCAGCAAATCCCCGAGCTTGATCATATGTCTTTCCTGTCCGTCCCTTGTTAGAGTTTATTTCAACATACACAGACCACCCAGTTATATATATTAAGTGTTTGGCGTTATTGATTGCATTAAAATTGTCCTCCCAACCTATGTGACATTCATATTGAATTCCTCCAGATAGAAAGATTGGAGGCCTAAATCTTTCTTGCACATGAGCATCCTGATATAAAGTAACCATGCAACCATGTCTCTAGTTAAAGCATGTTGAGGGAACTCCACCATATTGAGGACGTCTTATTACTCGAGACAAAAAATTCTCCCAGCAACATTGACATACTCCAACCTAACACGAATTTTGGAGCCTCCCAATATAGGATTAAAATCTTCATTTACAATGGGAACCCATCTGTCCACTGGATTCCCTGTTACAATATCTTGAGCTATTAAATGAGCTCTTCCAATTAGTGTTGCCCCAATAAGATTGTCATATTTGATTGTTAATACAACATTTGATATATGTGAAAGAAGTCGTTCCACTAGGGTTTGGAGGAAAGATTTTTAAGCATTCTAGTTCTCCCCACCCTCGCCTTACTAAATCAATGGTTGCATAAGGTTGGAAACCAAAAACCTCCAAGAAAGTTATAAGAAGTTCATTAAATGTTGAAATATGAAAATTTTGATTGACATTGTAATGTAGCAGAAGAAGAATAAAATACCTCAAGGCTGCATACTATTTTCTTGACTTGAGATATTTCTCCCGCTCTTTTAAGGTTCTTCAAAATATATAAATATCTTCGAAAGTAAAGTTTTAGATGGATATTTTTTCACTTGAATAAGATTCTACATTGATTAGTTCACGTATAACACATCTACTAGTAAAACTACAATAAAAAAAAAAAAAAAAAAAAAAATTGGATTAGGTTGCAGAGGACACGGTGGCGTGGCACTTGTTATCGGTTGTACGCTGCTTCACCCCTAATGCTTGGTTGCAACGACACAACCTTGTGTGGACACATTGCTGGTCACGAGGCCGAAGGTGAGACATTGTCGTCATGTTTTTGATAGCGATGTCTCTTTGTGGTCACGACCTCGTATGACCATAATACCATCGGGGACATGACACTATCTATTACAAAGATACGACATCCCTTGGCCAAGTTTTATTTTTTTAAAATTTATTTGCAATTTTGAAAAAGCTATTAATATGAACAATGAAATTCAGTTTTTGCTGGAGTATTGAAGAGCAGTTGTAAAAAAATTTAATTAAATCAAGAGAAATTATATTAAATAATCCAATTTTGGGTCCTCAATTGAAAAGTGTTTTACAAAATAACTCTCACCCTACTTTTGACATCCTTTGATATCAAATAATTACCAAAAATGGGTTATTATTGGTCCTAAGGAGAAAGTATTGGGCAATATGGGTAGAATGGTGATTTTAATTGTTTTCAAGAATTGGAGAAGATTATATCATATGCTTTCATATGAATCAACGATTTATTCACTCAACTTCATCACAAATTTATTCCCTCAACTTCATCCCAAACAATCACAATATGCCCACTCAACAATGACTAAATTTCTGGTTTCTCCCGTTATGAAGGGAAGACAAAATGTTAGATGAAATAAGGAGTTTAGGATTATGTCATATGCGGGGAAATCATTAGAATATAATTTGATGTTTGGTAAAGTATTTAGTTATTTTGAGTAATATTTTTGAAATATTATTGTAAAGTTAAGTTGGGTTATTATTTTGAGAATACGATCTGAAAAAAAAATATGTTTGGTCGAGTATTTAGTTGGATTATTATTACGAGAATATGATTTGATATTTTGTAAAGTATTTAGGATAGTATATAGAGTTGAATAAATTGTAGAAAAATTATTTGGTTTACTTTTTTATAAAGGATTTATTGATAGAATTCTTTATTGCTTTTTGTTAAATTAATTTTTATTACTTGTATAAATAACCCACAATTCCCAAAAGTATGCACAATAAAATTATGTCAATACAGAAATTGCGACTGGACCTCAACTGGAACATGCCAAAAGTTATGTTAGATCCAGCAAAGAAACTCGCCTATGGAGACAACGTTGGAGGAGGATGGCTGACGATGGTGGTGGATCTTGAAGATCGTGCAACAATGGTGGTCCAGGGCCAAAGCATGTGGGCGTTACAAGAGGTTCAACGGTCATGGAGGAGGAAGAGAGATTCCCGGTGATGAGTGGTGGCGGAAGACAAACAATGTGCAATGGGTGGAATCGATTTAATTTATATGACTGCTTTTGGGACAGAGATCTTGGGGAAGGAGAGCTGCAAGATCTTGGGTTTGTTTTTTGATTCAGGTGGAAGATCGTTTGGAGATAAATTTGGGAATTTAGAAGAAGATCGTTTGTGACCGTGGCGAAGGAGTGAAGACGGAACAAGAAGGAGTGAAGAAGAAAGACAAAAAAAGTGAAGAAAGAAGAAGAAGAAAGCACTGCAAAATGTCAGCATATTAAAGACAGACAACGGTCACAATTGTCAAGAAACAAATTTTGAAGATTGTGTTTTGTGAATAATAAAACAAATACTTACTTTAAAAATAGGATAGGAAATAGAGTAGAAAAAAGTAAAACAAACGCACTCGCTTATTTATCATAGATATATATTTAACATAATTTTTTGTCATAAACTAACCGCGCCTACCTTAAGAATAGGAAGAAACCTTGAAAATTTGTAGATTTATGATGAAAAATTAAAGATTCTTGAGATGAAGTAATTCTTTTACTCCAAAATTTAGTTTGAATCTATTCCCGCCTTTGCTTAAAGTATCCCATTTTCGGCAACCATATCTTACACTACGTAACAGATACTATTAGAATTACATTTTTAATTTATACAAATTAAATACTTTTATTATTTATATATACAAATCAAATACATATTGTGAGATTATTTAGCATAATAAAGATAAACATATCTACAGGTCTAGGTGGTAAGGATAGGTGGAAGGTATTCTGATTTGTTGCCAAGCACATGAGCCTTGGTGTCAGGAAACACTTCAAATCCTGGAATAGTTTTAACAACTCCATCGTTGGTAACTTCAATGGGGTAGGGGAGTAGATGACCTGGAAGATCAGTAACAGTATCGCTGGTGTACATTTTCCAATGCTCGTCGGCAGTCTGGTTCACTATTTGGATACATCCCAAACTTTCTGGTTGGTTGAATGACATAGGCAGATATCCTGTGTGCTCGGACCATAATGCCATTCTGAATCCATATATTTGACCCCTGGCTGGTTCAATAGAAGTTGTTAAATGAAGAGGCTGAAAGGCTCCCATTGCAATCTCTGTGTCCCTTCCACCGTCCATTGACCTCTGATTGATGTTGGCAGATCCAATGATTATGTATTCATCATCAACTGAAAAGAGTAACAAATTAATGACCTTTTAGGTATTTTGTCAATTCAATAGATACTTTAACTAAATGCAGCTATAACATAGTTATTACTTACCTATCATCATTTTTGCATGAACATAGATCATGAAACGCCTAGCCTGTTGAGCTCTATGATAATCACTACCTGGCTCTGGTGTCTCTGGGGGTAAATATTCTCCCGACATTGTTTTCTCACGATTTCCAAGGCAAAAGAATGATAAATACTCTCTGGGATGTGTATTAAGTCCCTTCTTTTTAAGGGCTTCAGCAATATCAAAATACATCATTTCAATTGTCCTTCTTTGCCAATCTAATATTGCTTGCACAGAACCACTCTCAGGAATTCCTTCTGGCCACATTGGAATCACAATGTACACAGCAAATCTCTCCCCTGCTTCAATCTTGCTAACAATCTTCAATGAGAGCTCCTTCGGTATAAGATGCAAAGCAGCAATATCCTCCACTTTTATATCTTTTGATAGCCAACCGTAAGAGCTTCCCAGGAAATATTGATTTTCAATGTATATAAAGTTCTTTGCTCGACGGATAGCATTGATATAAGCATCTTGAATGCTTCTATCAATCACGCGATCTTTTCCCGTAACAAGACCAATTCTGTATGCTTCTTGAACATCATTGGGTAAACCATAAGCAGCACCTCCATCAATAGATCGAAATAATTGAACATTCCATGATTCGGGATCTGATGACAGATTGATTGAAGTTGGATGGATTATGAATTCTTCTAACTTCTCCGTAGGAATTATAAACTTTCCGCCAGCTTGCTTTTTCCACCTTTGCTCAAAATTGAACAACACATCCCATGCAACAGGACCTTCTAGTTTGCAATGAATGTCATGCCATGGCTCTCTTGGACCGCCTTTCTTTATAGAAGAACCTGGAAAGTTGGGTTGGTGGAAATCCTCATGATGCAATGAATTAGTTCCCAAAGTCATGAAAAGAGGATGTTTCTGTATATCAAACCTTCCTTCACAAAGATCGATGCCGCCAACAAAACTCACAATCCTCCGCTTTTGTGATTGTCCACCAGGAATTTCACTGTCGACCACTAAAGTTTTTTGATGGTGAGTAAACAGGGTAGATATTTCATACCCTTGAATTTTCTTTCTTTTACCACCAGCATCACGAGGGCACAAAACACATTTTACATTTGTGTTGCGAAAAAAATCTACTGTTTCTTGGTCATGAGTTGCCATCAAACCATCCTTCTTCAAATCCCCAACTGAAGACCTGTCATCCCACACAAGCATCAAAACTGCCACACCTTCATTGGCTTTTTTCTTCAGCAAATCCCCGAGCTTGGCTTTATGTCTGTCCTGTCCGTCCCTTATCAGAGTGATTTCAACATACACAGACCACCCAGTTATATAAATCAAGTGTTTGGCGTTATTAATTGCATAGAAAATGTCCTCCCAACATCTGTGAAATTCATATTGAATTCCTCCAGATAGAAAGATTGGAGGCCTAAATTCTTCTTGCACATGAGCATCTTGATACAAAGTAACCATGCAACCCTGTCGTTGATGAAAGAAAGTTGAAGGAACTCCCCCATACTGAGGACTTGCGATTCCTCGAGACCAGGAATTCTGCTTAACAACATTGACATATTCCAATGTAACATGAATTTTGGAACCTCCTACTATAGGATTAAAATCTTCATCTACAATAGGAACCCATCTGTCCACTAGATCCCCTCTTACAAGATCCTGAGCTGGTAAATGAGCTCTTCCAATTAGTGTTGCTCCAACAGGATTGTCATATTTGATTGTAAATACAACATTTGACGTCAAATGGGCACAGTATATGCGAAATGACTCATTCCATTGGGGTTTTGAGGAATGAGTTTTAAGCATTCTCGTCCTCCCCACCCTTGCCTTGTCTAAATCAACGGTTGCATACGTTTGAGAACCAACAACCTACAGAAACATTTGACAAAGTCATAAAAAGATTATAAAAAATTTAATTGACCTGCAAGAGAAGAATTAAAATATACCTCAGGCCCGCACACTATTTTCTTGACTTGATATATAACCTTTCTCCCGCACTTTTATGTTCAAAGAAAACAAAAGCACAATGGTAAAAAGCGTCGAGGTTCTAGACAATAATCACAGTTCATAAGAATAATTAAATCTCAAAGTAATTTGTTAATGAATATATTCACTATCCAGGTGATTAAATAACATCAAATAATGACCTAAGCTTAACTTGAATAAGAAACCTGAATTGGGTTTGGGTCATTAAGATAACAATATAAATAAAAATTAAGTGTAAATATTATATTTTTACACTCACAAACTAACTTCTTTTTTTTTTTTTTTTTTTTTTTTGCAATACTATTTATAATATTGAAGGAATATTGTGAAGAAAGAAATTTAACAGTGGATGTAATACACTTTATTAAAGTAAGTTATATTTATTGAAATAAATCATTATATTTCTTTAGCAAAACAAATAATTAAATTATAGTATATTAGCAAAACAAAGATAATATGTTTTCTCCACCAATTATAATTAATTGAATAAATGATATATTAAATTCACTTCTTCAAAAAGAGATTATTGAGTAAATTTTCTAAATATTAAGCTCTATACCGACCTCTTAAGCAGTGTTTTAAAACCTAGCCAGTTTAACCAGTCAAATCGTGAACCGATGGCAAGCCAGGCTAGCTAGGGTTGAAATTTGGAATTGTAATTAACTCGTTTTGACCCGCGGTTGGACCAATGTTACTGTAGCAAACCACCGATCCAACCAATTTTTTATCAAAACCGGATTAACTCAAATTCCCAAATTCTAAGGTCAGACTTTCAGTCAGTGGGGAGATGTCGTCTACCAAGAAAACACAACAACACACAACCAAAACAAGCACAAACAACCAGGAAGCCAAAACTAATTAAAAAAGTTAGTTGAAAATTCGATCAATCCCACACCAAAACAATTCAAATCGCAGCGGCTGGAGGTGGCTCTCGGCTAGCATTCGATGGGAAAACAGGAATCAAGGTTAATAGAGTTTGGAAGGGTGGACCACAGTGAGTCGGAAGGTGGTGTCGAATTGAGTTTTAGTCATTGGAATCATTGGAATTTGGCCAAGAAACGGTGAAACCCTAGCTTGTGATTGCCGACGATTGGTGGATGGAATGGCTTGGGAACTTTGGGGGGTTTTGTAGGGGAGTAGCTGGTGAGTCTAAGGGTTATGGTGGTTGGGGTTGTCATCGCTCGACGCAGCTGCCGTGGCCGGCGATCAGCGAGTGATGAGAGGGGATAAATGATATGGTTTTGAATAGGAGAGAGTGAGAGTTCCAGTGGTGGTGACAGGGTGACTTTGAGTGAGAAAACAGCCGAAAAAAGGAGAAAAAGATCGATGGCGACGTGTGCTAACGTGCGCCTGCAACAGTAATCATGGAATATTTTTTATACTGACATCAACTGTTTGACTTGCCGATCAAACTAGTTAAACCAATCAACCCGAGACCCGATCACTTGACCAGATCGGTTATTAAAACATTGCACTCAAGTATAACATGGACATTTCTTTAGACCAAACTAAATCATTACTGAAAAATATTAATACATTATAGTAATATCTTCTGAAGATTATATTTCATCATTTTATGTAGCATTGATTAATGCAAATATAATTATGTATATGTATATGTATGAACTAACTATTCTAAATTCTATCTACATTAACTGATTAATATAATTAGAAATTAGGAATAAATTGAATCCTGAAATATTATATACAAGGAAGAAACGTATGTACCTTTTGAGCTAAAGGAAATCCACATCCAGTGTGTAACTTATCAATCCCGTAAATTGTCACAAATATGGTCCCATGAAGCAAAGTTGGTGAAACCATTTTTGTCCTGTCTTGTAATGATCTACAAATCAAAGAAAATCAATTAACTACAAATTAAACAACATAAAAATAGGCAATCAAACAGAAATTAAATAAAGAGGGTAGCTTCACCTTGAGGATTATGAAGCAGTAGATGAAAATGAAATGCATGATTGATATATGTATATATAGAGTGAGAAAGAGCATCTTGCTTTCATTGTTTTTTGAGATCAAGTATCAAGAAAGAGAGATCTTGCTCTCTTTGTTTCTTGAGATCAAGTATCAAGAAAGAGATCTTCTTTCTTTGTTGTATAAAATCCAATTAAAATAATTTTTATATGTTCCCGCCTTCGCTTCCACGCTCCCCATTACGCCAAAGCATATCTGATATATATGGCCCAATGTTTCTTGAGATACAGTATCAAGAAAGAGATCATGTTTCTTTGTTGTTAAAAATATATTTATATGTTCCCGCCTTTGCTTCCAAGCACCCCATTAAGCCAAAGCACATCTGATATATATGGCCCAACTTTGGTCCATTGAAATCCCAATGGGCTAGGTCCAGATTTAATCCAATACTAAAAATGTATTGTTTACGTTCGATAACAGTTGTGCTTTGAGTAATACTACACATACATCATTTTCATATAACATTTTCCATACAACATTATGTGGCAAGATATGATTGGCTAATTTAAAGTTAAAATTAAACTTTCACCCAATCAAATCTTGTCACATAATGTTGTATGAGAAATGTTGTATGGGAATGATATATTTGTAGTATTATTCTTGTGCTTTTGTGGCATACACCAACACCACAAATCAAATGGAAATATTATTCAGGAAATAGAAAGACCATAACAACTAGTGTTATAAAACACAAGGTCGGTCCGATGAAGAACCAAACCAAAAAGCTGACATTTCATCCCCTAATTAAAGAGACTGACTATCTTCGACTCCATAATTGATATGTCATGAACTGTAAGTCATATACTGTATATATTCAACCTCCAACTAAAGTGATTAAGAAGTGGTGACAAAGTCTTTATTGTTTATTGTTTTGGGCAGCTGAAGTTATAATATTTATATAAAAATTACTTAAATGATAAATTTATGGAGGAAGATGCGCAGCACGTTATGCATTTATTTTTGTGGTTATGAGTAAGGTTTTATCAATGGTTGCGTAGGTGAAATCTTTATTGCAGCAAGTCCTAGTTACTTAGACTTTTAAGGCGTTTCACCGACAATTCATCATCTTATAATTGTACTCTCTTCTCAACTCGATTTCTGCAGATCTCTCTTATTTATGATCTCCCTTCCCCCAAGATTCAAATAAAAACATGGTACAATCAAAGAAGTTCAGAGGCGTCAGGCAACGCCAGTGGGGCTCTTGGGTTTCTGAAATTCGCCATCCTTTACTGTAAGTACACCCACTAACATTATTACTCGTAACAAATTTATTTTGATTCTCTCTATATAGCACATTTACTTTTACAGGAAGAGAAGGGTATGGCTAGGCACATTTGAGACTGCTGAGGCTGCAGCAAGAGCATATGATCAAGCTGCCATTCTCATGAATGGTCAAAATGCCAAGACCAATTTTCCTGTACCCAAGACTACTACTACTACTCAACAAGGCAAAGACTGTAATTCTGATCATCATAACTACTCTCCATTTCCTTCCAAGGATCTTTCAGAACTTCTCAACACAAAACTTAAAAAGTGTTGCAAAGACTTGTCACCTTCACTCACCTGCCTCAGGCTTGACAATGACAATTCTCATATTGGGGTGTGGCAAAAGCGTGCTGGATCACATTCAAGCTCTAGTTGGGTGATGAGGGTTGAGGTCGGCCTACAGAAGAAGAAGACACATCAGGTTTTGGAAGGTACAACATCAATGGCATCACCAACTACTGTTCAAGTTGAAGCCACAAATGGAATTGGAACGGATCATGATGAAGATAGAGTTGCAATGCAAATGATCGAAGAACTACTAAATTGGAACTGTCCTTCTAGTTTGTTTATTTAGGAAGATCCTTAAATTATCTCTGTCCTTGTCCTTGTCCTTGTCCTTGATCATCACAATATATGTACATCTCTGCATATGCAAATAATTACTATATCCATAGTCGCCAGCCAAACATAAATTTCCACCTCAAAATTAAACTCACCAGTTTACCACGCAGAAAGATGATTGATGTATGATTTTAATTAATATCACAAGTTACATAACTGACAACTCTGAAATTACTATATTTTCCAATCAATTAATTAATAAATAATTTAGAATGAGATTTATGTCTGTTACCTACTGCTACTAGAGTTGACGAAGGTCTCCGAAAGTGGGGTTGTTACTTTCTGAAAATAATGCTTGCTGCTTGGGCAAAATCTTATCAAGGAAAAGAAGTGTATAAATTAAATTAAAGTCGTTCCCTTCCCTTATCTGCAATTTAATTATGTTGATGATGTTATAGTAAATTTCTGACCTTATATTAATAATGGACAGAAAAAGCCAAGTATTTTGTCACTTTAATTAAATTTAATACGTGAACCATATTGTCAACTTCTGCTCAATTCATTTGCCTCCTCTTCCATCATCGTCTGACCGTTCAGAATTATTATAACTACTGTTGAACAATAGAAGGGCTGCAGTGTTATTTTCCTTCTAATTGATTTAATTCTCGGATAAATTACATAGTAATTATTGCCGCCCTCCAAAACCAATCAAAACCTGCCATTTAGCAACTTGGTTTGGTGTCAGTGTCATACATTTAGCAAGCATATAAAAAAAATGGTGTCAAAAGGTAGCAATAAGTGGCCGTAGATCCACGTCTTTACAACAAAAAATTATTTATTTGTGGGAACACATGGTCCACTCCAACCCCCAAATTTCTCCCTCCTTGAATGTGAAACAATAAAATGGAAGTCATTACGTTTTATAATTGAGCTGTCAAACAACTCAAAAGGACCCTTTATTTTTATGGTTGAGCCATGGAGATTAAAAGCGTTGTGATATTAAATATATAAACTTTATTAATTTCACAGCTGCTTATATAGGGAGTCCACATAAAGTATGCATGATGGTGATGCTAAATGGTCCAGTAGTTCCAAAGTCGAAGCTCACAAACACAAATATTATTATTGACATTAACAGGACAGCTCTAGTTACTACTACGTGGTTGGTTCATCGTTAATGCCATCACTAAACTTACTTGAGCTGAGTTCTGTTGCTTTCAAATGGGTTAGGTGAGTTGCATTTGATGCATGCTTCCACTTATCTTCTTCTTCTTCTCTCTTAATTTCATTCCTTACAGCAATAAATTATGTAGTCATTCATTAAAGGTGAGTTTCCTATCTCCTTTACAAGAAAATTACCCCCAAATGAAGAAATTCTCTGATAAAATCCTGACCACACTTCCGATATTATCCCGTGAGTCTTTTAAGAATATCTTAATGAATAGGTGGATTGATGAATTAATTTCAATTACTATAATCTGCAGCCCCTTGTATTTAACCTTTCCTAAGATCTCCAAATCAATCCATAACGAAATTTATGTTTTAATCATCTGACAATAACATTTTTTTAACAAAAACTTCACGTATGATACCTCAACCTACGACTAAAATTTTCAGTAAGCATTTGTTTTAGATTGGAATGAGTAATGCATTGGTACTAAGTTTTAAGTTCCATGGTGGGCAGATCTTGAATACATTATGCATCTAATCAAACATATCTCATTGCCTTCTGATACTCACAGCCATGGCAAAATTGGTTTAAGATTGTTTAGGAATTTGCATTCAAGACAAATTTGCAAAAGTTAGACAAGGCATCCTGGGTTTGTTATCTTCCTAGGACACTTAAAAGATTATGCTTAGGGACTATGATTGGATTCGAATGGACTAATTCATAGGAATTAAGTTGAACTGGACTAGATAGAAGTGAACTATACCGGAATTTGGGATGGAACGCCACCGCTGCATGAAATTCCTTCAAGTTTGGGACACCAGAAACCATTGTTCACCAAACCTTTGAAAAAAAAAGGGGGGGAAAAAGGTCAGTGTGCACGAGGAGAAGGGGCAGGGGCTGCCAATCTCTACAAACTCATTCAAAGTCACTCTAAAGTAAGGTGCTAATTTTTTTCCGCACTTCATCAAGAGAGTAGGAAAAGGTCTGCATCATAACATTATTTCATATGCATCAAGTCAAGCTTCTTAGTTTCTGATTCAAGGCACAAGGAGGAGCTAATCTTATACCTGTCACCATTCATTTGAAGAGCGGGACCTTTCATTTTGCATGCCGTTTGATAGACAGAGAAAAAGTAGCAATAAGTGAGCTCCATGAAGGTTTTGCTGTGATAGCCCGCAATATATTCATGTTTAAAATGTAAAATTAGCAATTACAAACTCAATTTCTCATGTAAATTCACTATCATTCCCCATGAAACTTCATGGTCGAAAGGGGTAAAAGTCGCAAGGTTGACAAGAGTATAGGTTCAAGCCTTGAGAAGATGTTGCTTTGCAGGAGCATCAGTGACAAATAATCTTGTATTTAATCCTTCACCTCCGGAAATAGCTTAGGTAAAAGGAATCAGGTCAATCATCAAACGCTCATTCTGAAGCATCTATACGGTGAAGAACTTCAAGGGGCAGTACTTCATTGACTATCAACCAAAAGGACAACTATGCATGTATTCAACAGCTAAAATAAAAAAGAATGAATCTCATGGGTTTCCTATCATTAAGGAGGAATCATATAATAAAATTTCATGGTAGTCCACTAGCAAAAACAGGTCAATCGCAGAATTACCTGTATCCAACTTAAAGACAACGAACAACTTAACCAGATTCAGAACCAAACGACAAAAACATAGTATTCCAATTTCCAAACAAACCATCTTATTGGAAAACATTTGATTATAATCGAGAATATACATCATAGCATTCATGATTAATAGTTCCAAGGCAGTACTGCTATAACAAACTCACATGATAGCTTGCCTTTAACAATGGCAGAGTGGCTTGCAGCCTATAAACCCTGTTACAGCCATAAACAGTAGCTGTCAACAGCTTCAAATGCTGGTCACATCCTATCAGCAAGATACTTTGCTAAAGAGTTGACTGGCTTCGCAGGGTCAACATTTTCCATTCCTCGATTCCTAATCTTGACCCGAATAAGATAATCATCTGCAATCCAGGCAAAACTCAACATGACTACATTCCTAGTGCCATCTAGCTCTTGCAAGTCAAGTGATTTCTTCACCCATTTTGGATGGTAAGTGGCCTGGTACCATGCCGAGGCCTTACGTTCATATAATAAATTCTTGTCAGCATCAGAAAGTTGCTCAAAATCTGAGTCCATCTTCTCAAAAATTTGCCTAAATTCTTTTCTCAAGGACCTGTAAGAATGCTTGAGCCTCTCCTTCAGTTCTCCTTGCTTCCGGCTGTTGTACTTTGGCATAGACCAAATATGCCCCGTGACCAGCTCTTCTTCCCTATTAACTTTGTACTGATCCAGAAGACCAAGCAATTGGCCGTTGTAGGAGCATTTTTTATCCCAAGCATCAGCAATGAAATCAATGGACCCAGTGACCTCGAGATCTGTATCATAGGGGATTTCAACAGGATTAAAGTTTACCCCAGCTGAACCAGAAATGTCTTCATCTTAATTATCTTTAATATGTCGATAGAGCCTTCCCAATATTTTGCTTGACTTGTATGATTGATACTCCTCCTTTCCCATAAAATCTGGATACATCTTTGGTTTCAGATGTGATGGCATAGTTACAAGCTTCCCGGTTTTGGGAAAATCAACAGCTGTGGCAGCTAACTCTGCTAGGATGATGCAGTTCTCATCCAGTGCCCCATACTCACTGCGGTCAGCATGAACGACATGAGCATTGCAGATTGCACCTAGGTTCTCATTAACCATGTTTCTTGCAAAAAATTCTATTATGTCCTGTAAAATAAACATGATTAGAACTGTAGCACATTTGAGAGAGTTCTACAGTTACACTCTCAACAAGACTAATTATAAACTAAATAAGAATTTGAAGCTTCTGTAAGAAATCAGAAAATGTCCGTAACCTACATTTAAAAGCTACTTTGGCTAGACATGCTATTCTAGAATTATCTGATTTCATCAAATGTAGTTTTGTTATCATCTAATTTCATCAACATAACTTTGTTCACTTTTTGATGTTGAAATTTCTGAGGTTACACCAACAATGTAGCACTTGGCAATGTCTGGCAAAAGACTTTGAAAACCACATGATGCCACCGTATTATCCCTAATAGCGCCATTACATTATTGAGTACTAACTGAGCTGGTCGTATGACTTACTGATACACCAGGAAACAATAATTTTGCACTGGATAAATGGTAACAAAGAATTTCATCTGTTTTGTTGGTTATAACATTGTCAGGCTCCACAGATGTGAATTAAAACAAATGTCAGTACTTGGCATTGGCTTAACCAAGATATGTATGCAATTGCAGCATTATCTTAATCACCTTGGTGCTACAAAGAAAGATAACACGAAAAAAATGTTTGTAGCATGAATAATTATTATATGATGTCAATAATAAAAGAGAATTATAAAAAACCAGATTCTGAATAAAACACAGTTATAGAAGCTTAGTTATAACATTCTAAGAAGGTGAAAAGCTACCTGATGATTGACTGGGCGTGACAAGTTTTTGACCTCAGCACAATCATACTGCATCGGAGGCCAGCTCTTCTTACTGGGGGGGATGAGATTTTCATCCCAAGTGACAAAGTACAGATCCCCATCAAGGTCACTTCCGGAAGCTTCATTTGTGTGGGGCCTGTCACCCTTTTGAGGGAAAACAAGGCAATCATATAAATGGTGTAAATCCGGGGCATCAACTGCTTCCAAAATCCTTATATCTCCAGGGTGAAGGCAAGGATTCTTTGCTATAACCACAAATCCATTAATAACTTCCAAATTGCTTTCTGTCTCTGTAAATCTGGAGCCATGTTTGGAAAAGCAGTTTTCCAAACATGGCTTGGACACTTGGATAAAGCACTGACCTTGTTCCAATACCCCAAGTTCATCCAAGCAGCCCATCAACCACCTCCCAGACTGAACAAATATCCGAGCCTTTTCCCTAAGACCCCAAAGCTGGGCAGCTCTTATAGAGGTTAACATTCCATGTAAATGAGGTTCTGCTTGAGGCTTGAAACCTGCACTCAGCATCATTGCTGCCGTATTTCCTTGCTCAGTACAGGAAACAGTCAAGACTTCAAATGCCACATCAGTATCCATGACCATTTTGTTCAGTTTGGAAACCATAGAGGCCTGCATTAGCCAAAATGTTTCATCGGGAATGTTCAATGTTGAAAGCAATGTAATTATCTGCCTATTTAGGAAACCAGGCTGAAACCTAGTCCATGAGCATATTTCCAAGGTAGTATGGTTGGACTGGAATTTGTTCATACTTCCCCTCAAAGACAGTCGAATCCCATCACCTTGTGCTGGCCAACAGGCCACCACCCCTTTGTAACCAGCATATCTGATCTGATAAGCACAGGGTGGTGGGTTCATGTCCAATTTCAATTTCTCTGAAACTTCCATGGCAAGATCAGGAGTGATCATACCAATACCATCAGAGAAATTATATCCATTCCTCTCAACATCTGGAAGATTACGATTAACCTCCATTGATGGTACTTCAACTGTTGCATATGTAGATGAGAAGCACTGGCCCATCCTGGCAGCACACTTTGCAATGTTCCTGTTGACGAACTTTCCCATCCAACTTTTAATGTTGTGCACACCTGTCTTCCCATCTTCAGCGAAAAACCAGGCAGAACGATCCCTTAATTGATTGGATGAAAAGGCCAGAAAGGAATATTTGCGCCCGCATAAATTGAACCCATCCATGAGAATGCTTCTCACCCTCTTGAATACTCGTGTCTTCTGCGGGAAGGAGTTTGATGTGATTTCCCTCACAATTGGAGCAACATAATAAGTAAGAACATTTGCATTCATTTTTTGCAGGCCTTCATCCATAAAGGTGACTCTTAAAAACCGATCAGCAACATTTTTATATTTCCGAAGAACCCTATTGGAGAGTTCAACTTCTGGGGGAAGACAGTACGCTTTGGTTGGGGTAATAACCAACCTTCTGATTTCTACAATGTCATCCATCTGCTTAGGAATCTCATAAAGCTTAGGATTCTTGAGTAACCATTCTTGCACAACTTGCAGCCTCTTATAGGCATCAAGCACAGGCCGTTTATAAGAACATATGTGCTTCAGTGCAGCCACATTTACCTCCTTCGGTTGGCTTCTCAGTATATCAAAGAAGCTATCTGATAGCTGGTGTTGGCTGAATATTCCTTTATGCATGACAGCATTCACCAAAAACATTACCTCAAAGTCTATGCCATCCCCATGATGAATACAAAAAAATGAATCTGTCATGAGCGTCCCAAAGCCAGGTTCATCTCTAATCTTAAGTGGTCGCATTAGGCACTCCACTGGCACCCTCCGTGTTCTAAGGTAATTCATGGCCCTTTTTAGCTTTCCACCATGACGGGGAGGGACAGAAATTCGATAAGAATTACACCGACCAATTGCCCCACTAGGTGTAAAATCTGTGGTTCGGATCCAAGGATCATCATCATCCAACAAATCATATGGTACTGTTACTTCTATATCATCATCAGCGGTTCTGTACCAGACCCAAGGTGAAGAAGCCAGCTGCAATAGAATTACTTGATAGGATGAATCTGAATACTGCTTGATCTCATTGATCTCCCTCACCAAGAACTCAACCTTAAAATCACATTTAATAACAGCATGCAGAGTAGAGCTTTTGAAAGAGAAAGCAACATCTCTTGAAAAACACATTTTGCATGTTCCATCAAAAGGATCCACCAAAAACTCAACCCCTGACGAAGGTCCTCTCCAACCAACAAAGAACTCGTCTCGGCTAACTAATGTACCAATCTCAACACATACATCAGGTAATTTGAAGGGAATAGTAGTCCTCCTCCTCATATTCAAGTGGAAAGGATTTTCAGGGCCCAAACTGGCCTTCAGTGCTTGATTCTTGAAAAAGAGCTCACAACGGCCTGCCTCATCCATTGCCCCGGTTGCAGATTCAGGTGAGGCAAAATGCACAAAGGCATGTGGCTCTACCTTCTTATAATCATCAGTGCTTTGAATTTCTGAAGTTTTAATGATACCAAAATTTGGATAGGATTCTGGAGGGGTTGAAGAAGTCTTCAATCTACAGCGCCACACATCTCCAACGTAACATTGCAAGTAATTTGTAAGTTCTTTTGCTTTAACATCGTTGTCAAATCCACCAAAACTAACTTGAGTGACCACTGTGTTCTTTCCATTTCCTTCTTGCTCCATCTGGCACAGAAAAGTTGATGAAGTAAAATCTGCAAACATATAACAGACAAAAAAACCAAAAGCCTGCATCAGAACCCTGATGTCATAACAGATTAATAGTTATTCCAATTCAACTCCAAAATCAAAGCAAAAACAAATAAATACAGAACAATTAAGAAAAAATTAGGTCATAGCGAGAAAATGATAAAAAAGGAAATAGATATGGAGAGAGTTAGCTTAAGAGAAGATAAGCAAAGATCCCAGTCCACCATTCCTTTATACAATAATGAATAATTTTTCTTTAATGTTTAAATAAAATAACCGAAAGCATATAATTCATTTTCTTCTTTCTTTCACGAGCTTTCCCAACAACCATAATAAAACATATTGATCAAAAGCTACAAACAAATATCAATTAAAAGGCAGCTAAACTTAATTTTGGTGAGAAGAGAAAGAATTAAATTCAGTTTACGTATCTTTTCTTTACATGCAAAATCTCATTATACAAAATACCGAACAAACAATAACAAAACAGAATGCAAGATTCATTTCCGTACAGTTTCTTGGCAACCAAACAGAACTTGAATTAAGGCCCAATGACTCGCTACAAGTAATTTCAAGATTTGAAATAAAAAAAAACATGATCACAAGTTAACTGAAACTCTCAGAACAAAAAAGTACAAACCTGGAGAATGTAAAGGCGATCAAAGAGGAGAAAATCAGATATAAAGTAAAGGCGCGGGAGCATTTGAGTTTGTTAAGAGTTGAGTTGAGTGAAGTGAAGGAAATGAAATGAGCGTGTGTTATTTTTCTATTTATATCTCTCAACTGCTGTCCTGAGTCTGTGACTGTCTGTCGCCTTCTTAAAGAAGTTGTCAGGACCCAGACTCACGTTGCTTTATTATTTTTTTTTTCCTCTTTCCCGCTTTTTATTTCTATTTCTATTGCTTTAATATGGTGTTGTGTTAAGGACGATTGTCGAGAGATTTTTTATCCAACGGCTGCCATTAACTTGATCAAGTGCTAAAAGAAAACCGCGTTGATTGCTTGTGGGATAATTGCCTTTGGCTTTGGGTCATTCGGGTAGATCCCTTATTCTAGCCAATGTGCCTCAAGCTATATAAAAGATAGAATGGATATATTTTTATATTATTTTTTTTAATAAAATTAGGTTAATGTCATCTTAAGTTTATTTTTCTTTTTTGCATAAAAAATATTTTTTCAAAGTTAGAATTTAATTAACGAAGATATTTCCTAATATTTGAAAGTTATGATAGATTAAACCCTTCTCTTTAGAAAAGAAAATGCATATATATTCAAACTTATTACATATCCGAAATTCTCTTAGTGATAACTATCTCAATATTTTAAAGATGAAAGTAGAAAGATTCAATTAAAAAAATTAATCCTAAAATTACGTCAATATTAGATTATATAATTTAGTGTAGTGTAGTATTTATATAAATTTAGGATGTCAAATAAATCAAAGACGGTTTTTTTTTTTTAATATATTTTTTAAAAGGCAGTAAAATTATTGCTATTTTTTTGTGCTGGGAAATATTGAGATGATAATCTATAGGAAATTAGGAATCCTTCAAATAAGTATTATTTTGTTTATTAGCATTCAAGTATTAGAAATGCTTGTTTTTAAGTATGCAAAATATTTGTTTGTCTTTTATAATTAGTGATTTGAGTGTATTGATATCTTTTGTGTTAAGTCATGGTTAAAAATTATAGCAGATAATCTTGTATTTTATGATGTAAACAATTAACACGTTTGTTGTAACTTGCATTTTTTATTTAATTTATTATTCATAGAATGTTGGAAGATGAAAGATAAAAGGTTCGAAGATTAAAGATGATGGGAGTTAAGTCATTGAATGGGAGGTGCTTATGGTGAATTTAATTGAATTAAAGGATGAGTTATGAATATGAAAAGATGGAGTATGTGAAGAGTTGTATATAAATATCTCTTATATTCATTCATCAAATACATTTTTTTTATCTTCACCAATTCTATTGAGAGAAAAATATTAGCTAAACAAGGTGTTCCTTTGGAGGAGTTTGGGTTGAGCAATTTGTGTTGAGTTGCTGTTAACCAAACAACGAGACTGTTGGATAGTTGTATACTATCTTAGAGGGGACGGGTCAAAGTGTTTCTTTATTACACAGATTGTTTAAGCTTTGCTAACTATAGAGGGTTCGAATTTCCTTAAAGAAAGCGAGATATCCGCGCATGCAATCTTCATTATTTATCATTGTATCATTTTCACCAACACACATATTTTAATACGTTTCAAATTTACATGAAAATTTTTATCATAATTATATTCAAAAATACTTTTCTTAAACATTTTATTATAACTAATTTTTTTAATATAAAACATAATTTGGAGAGAGATTTATGGGCTCTACTAAAGTAAGGGGCTGCACTGTTGACCCCTTTGGACCAAGTGTTGGGAATAATACCCTTGTATGAATTGAGTATTGATAATATCCATCTTCACCAAAGTTCAAACATGAGCATATATAATAAGACGACTAGGTCTAACATTGATAACTATGTGATTTAAAATAAACAAGTTGCTTAGTCTATTTTCCCTATAAACTATCCGTATTAATTTCTCCACAAACATTGACCTTCTCAAGGCAATAAGCATATACCATATTTCACATCGATAGTGTTTGATCTTATCAAAAACCATATATTATAATTTATCAACATGTCACGCTGATGCCTCTATCTTATATTATCACTAATGTGTATTTTTGCTTTTTATGTTAATTTCAACAACTTGCCTCCGAATCAAATAAATATATAATCTATATTCGGCATTGACTTCAATTTATATGTGCAATGTAAGAGAAACATAGAGCCACCGCCATTACTTTAATTAGTATGCCATCCAATGACACTCTCAATAAATTATTTTATTATAATTACACTATATAAGTTTTTGTGTGTAATTTAATTTATAATTACATAGCTTAGAATAGAATAGTCAAACGGACAATAGAAGAATAAAACTAAGAAGATATACTTAAAACACAGAGGATATTCTTATTCTCCTCTAACGAATATTCCAATTCCACCAACATAAATAAAATCAACTTTATGTTCTGTTATGTTTTAATTATCTTACACCTTCTTCAATCACCGTAACATTTCATCGGATTTTTATTATTAGGACCATGAAATTTTGGAAGAGTTTGAGCATATTGATCGAAGAGACATTACCTGATTGGCGAGACAAGTTTTTGTCTTACAAGGATTTGAAGAAGCAGTTGAAGCTCATCCATCCAAAACATGGGGAGACTGGTAACAAACGCCCCAGATTAGAGGGCCCGGACGGCGGAGATTGCTACGAGGAGACTGAGGAGGCCAAGCGTGTCAATCAATTCGTCAAGATGTTGGAGGATGAGATGGAGAAGTTCAATGCCTTTTTTGTTGAAAAAGAAGAGGAATATGTTATCAAATTGAAGGTATTTACAATTGCTGTTAAAAATTGAACCTTTACCTTTAATATTATTGAATTATTGTTTACAAATTACTAGATGAGATTTTTGTTTTATTTTCTCTTTTTAGTTGTTTTAGTCCCTGGAATATGTTAGTTAGAATTTAGAAATATTGTAATCGATCTAGTTGTTGCTTTTGCAAATTTTTTCATTTTTCTTTTTCAAATTTTTGGGATGTGTTTATAGCTGTATAAAGCGTCATGTGTCGAGGAAGGGAATTTGGGATTTGAAATATTTATAGGGCGGTGGTTGAAATGCAGGAGTTGCAAGATAGGGTAGCAAAGGCCAAGGGTTCAAATGAAGAGTTGATGAAAGTAGGAAGGGAAATTGTAGATTTTCATGGGGAGATGGTTTTTTTGGAGAATTACAGTGCCCTTAATTACACAGGTATATATCTTTATCCCGGTCTCTTTATTTTAGTTACTGATGTCCTATTGGGCTAATTGCATCTCCTCCTGAAAGTTAGTGGGAGGCCAGGCGAGGCGCAGGTCCATTCCTGCTTGGATGTGCTTGGTAGCATTTGCGCAGGCACAACACCCACAAAATTCTGTGCTGCTATTCAAATTATCTATTACTTGGATGGCTTTGTGAATGCATCATTTCATCTCTTAAAGGCATATAACCTTTGAGCAGTTACCAGTGCCTGGTTTACAGAATACTTATTGCATCTGGTCAAACTGACGGTGTAATATTAGAATATTTTGGATATGTTTTTGTTGGGTTAACATTAGTGGGATGGCAGAGCTTAACTTTCATTTTCTCATCAGTTTAATGCCAATCAAATGGGTTTATTATATTTTCTCTGGTGATAGGATTAATTTTGCACGAAGATAAGTAGGATGGATACTATTAAAGGTGGAAAAAGGTTCATACTTGATAAGAATAGATTTAATTTGCCCATATGCCAATGAATCTGTTGTAATACAAGTGGCTTATAACTAGAGAGGAATATGTCTAGTGCTGAGTCCTTAGTTGCTGCCTTTATTGTGATTAAAATCAATTAGTTGCAAGGAGTGAATGGATTCTGAGTGCAATTTTTGTCCTATGATGGTATGTTCTAAGAGGGAAAAAGGAAAAGAAAAGCTGCTTTTAAGATGAGTATATACTGTGGTTTGTGACAAAGAATATTGTTATGGTTTGACCCACTTGTGACCTTTCCTGATCCTGACTTGTTATGTACAGGACTAGTTAAAATATTAAAGAAATATGACAAGCGAAGCGGTGCTCTTATTCGGTTGCCCTTTATCCAGAATGTATTGCAACAGCCATTCAATACAACTGATGTGCTTAACAAGCTTGTGAAGGAGTGTGAGACAATGCTGGATCATCTTTTCTCCAAGAATGAACCGTCATCCTCGTCTGAAGCAACTGAAGAGAAAGCGAGCTGTGACCCAAATACTTCGGCTGAAAATAAAGAGAGGCCTCTCACAGTTCCCAAAGAACTTTCAGAAATAGAGAACATGGAAAGCATGTATGTGAAGCTGACACTATCGGCTCTGCGTGTCTTGAAGGAGATTCGAAGTGGAAGCTCAACTGTGAGCATGTTTTCGCTTCCTCCTTTGCAAAGTAATACTTTGGAAAAGGAGTGGAAGAAAGTTTCTGTCTTAGAGCAAGCAGCCAAATAGTTTTGTAATCTCTTGACCATAGGAATTGAAGGATGGGTCTTTGCTCTTATTTCCACCCTTTTTCCCCTGTTGCTGCCTTTTTTCTTTACTCATACATTACTGATATTAGTTGCCTACAGGTTGTTGTATGTTTGACTCCTTAGCTCTCAAGACATGGATGAAAGTTCTTGTAGAAATGATTAATTTTATGTAAACTGATGCGATTAGCTTCTATGGTGTGTCCATACATTTAGTTATTTTATTTTTATCAAAGTCTCATCACTTAGAAGATTATTAAAATTAGTTTTTGCATTACTTCTGTTGAAACAACTGAACCTGTGGACATATATGGAAGAATATTTACACTCAAGGGGAGAAATTTTTTGTTTATCGAAATTGTGCTCCGGGTTTTAGCTGTTTAATCATTACTATAACCGTATAACGTTTGTTATTTTTTCATAATTATGTATATTGTTTCACAAAGAGCGCCTGTAGCTCAGTGGATAGAGCGTCTGTTTCCTAAGCAGAAAGTCGTAGGTTCGACCCCTACCTGGCGCGGTTATTATTTTTCAGATTTTCAATTCCCTGCTTTAATTTCATTACAAATATGTCTTTTATATTTTCTCCTTATTAAAGAATTTTTATTACTTTAATTTCTTAATATAATTAGGAGAGAGAAAAATATTAGTTAAACACTTTCGTCTATCGTCATTATACCTCAAGCAAGTCACAAATATAAAAAAAAAAAAAATTATTACTTTAATCCCTTAATATAATTACAGAAGAAAAAACTACTAAAACACCTCTATCATATCATTGTTGTTGTAACCGGATCATGTCACAAATATCATATCGTCCTGGTTGTAACTGGAGCATGTCACAAGTCAAATATGTCTTTTATCTCCCTTTATTACTTTAAAATGAAACAAATATCTCCTATATTTTCCCTTTATTAGAGGATTTTTATTACTTTGATTCCTTAATATAATTAGAAAAGAGAAAACTACTAATGGAACACATTCATTGTATTGTCGTCGTTGTAACCAGAGCATGTCACAAGTATGTTTTTTATTTTCCGACTTTACCGATATTTCTAAACTTTTAATAACAAATTTAGATGGACTAAGTAAAGTCTTAACAGGTTAAATTGGTTTGGGTATAGGGCTGCAAATGAACCGAGCTGTTCGCAAATAACTCGATGTTCGTTCGATAACTGTTCGATTCGACTAAACAACAAACTGTTCGCGAACAGTTCGATGTTTGTTCGATAATATGTTTGATTCGAGTTTTCGATTATGTTCGCGAACATACTGAGTTCGACTGATTCATCCGTTCGTGAACAATCTATTCGATTATTTGTTCGTTTATGTTCGAAAAACATTGTATACATTATTATATATATTTATATTTTTTCTTTTTTATATTATGTTTGGTTTAGTTTGGATGAATTTTTTTAATGGTAATCAATAATAAAATATTATGATGTTTTTGTTTTTCTTATATATATAATATGTTTGGATTTTTTTTTTCAAATGTCATCAATAATTAAATATATAAGTATATAGCATTTTAATTAAAAAATAATAAATTATTATGATACATAGCATGACAAATTTAATAATATAATAGCTTAATTAAATGTAGTATAACAAATTTATGAGCATAATATATTTTATAATTTAGTGATATATAGCATGACAAATTTAATAACATAATAGTTTAATTAAACCTAAATTAATCACATATTTGTATTGATCATATATTATAATTGACTCTTATACCACTATAAATTTATGGGTGTTGATACAAAATTATATGTAGACAGTAATGATAATATATATATAATAACCTATCATTTTGGTAATTTAATAATATATTAAACATATTTAATCTATGATTAATATATGTATGATAATAATTTTGTATATATATAATTACACATTATATATATAACCCAATAACCAACAAACTAACCCGCCCAACCCAAATTTTAAAACAAAAATTCAAACCCAATTCCACATTTTCCCTTACCCAGCCCAAAATCCTAATCCAATTCAATCACAGCCCTAAGTTATTTGAACGAGTTATTCGAACATCTATTTACAAGTTAATTGAACGAACTCGAACAGTCATTCTGTGTTCGTTTGAGTTCGAACACCCATTTGTGCTTATCAAACGAGTTTCGAATGGAGGTGTTCGTTCGTGTTCGGTTCGTTTGCAAGCCTAGTTGGGTATTAACACATCTCAACCTATGCATTCATCGTTGCTACCTTTAAGGGGACGTTTGGATTGTATAATATTTTATTATAAGGGTATATTATATTAACGGAAAGAAATATCATCTTGAGGATCATTGTGAATATTTTGAAAATGTGTTTGATTGGTTCAAATAAATTGGTGAATAATATGTTTGGTTGGGAGGATAAATGGGCGGATATGTTATATAGATTACTAAATTGCTCTCATTTTTTAAATATTAATATCATAGGGTGCGTTTGGTTTATTATTTTGGGTAGGATTTTGGGGATAGTATTGGATAGTTGGATAAGGGAATATTACGAGATAAAATTTAAAAATTTATAAAAAAGCCCCCAAGGTTTGCTAATTTAATAAACACCCCAATATATTAAAATATTGTAAAATGACAAAAACACCCCTACCACCCGCAGTGCTAGATTCTGGCCACCACCGCCGGAATCTGGCCGAAAAATTGGATAACCACACATACTTAACTAACTTAGGTCGGATCTGGCGGGTATTTGATTAATATGGCCTTTTCCAGCCATATCCACCACGGATCTGGCCGAAAAATGCCAGATCTAAGGCCGGATGTGGCTTTCGACGGCCGAAAAAGGCGATCTTTGGCCGTCCTTTTCCGGCCATTACTGGCCATTTCTGGTGGTCATGTGATTGTTGTGACAGATTCTGACTACCACCGGTGGTGGTTGTTAGAATCTGGCAAGTATTGGTGGGTAGGGGTGTTTTTGTTAGTTTTTAAACATTTTTTCTAGGGGTTATTTAATAAAATTAATAAACTTATGAGGTCTAAAAATAATTAAAAAAATAGACTAATATTTTGGGAATAATGTGCCAAACAACATTTGAAGAATATGATTGAGAATATGGATAAAAACAATAAGCCAAACGCACCCATAGTATTTTTTATTATTATTTTTTGAATCATTTTTTTGAATCCCTTATATTTGAAATTTTGTTAAAACATCACAGCCATATAAAACTTTAATTTATAGCAAAATCACCCCCACCCACCCCAAGCCATTGCCGGCAGCTAACCACCACCGTCGGCATTTGACAGAATGGTGCACGACTGGTTGTATATGGTCGGCTGTGCGCCGACAAAGTCGAAAATGGCCATGGATCATTTGGCATGAAAAGGCCAGATATTTGGCCGTGCCATTTCATGGCTAAAGATCTGGCCTTTTCACGACCATATCTGTGGCTGTTTCACGTCGGCTGTTTCACGACCACATTTCACGACCACATCTTTGGCCGTGAAACAGCCCTAGAAATGGCAGGTCTGGCCGTTTTCGGCTATGGATTTGTGATCCATAGCTGGAAAAGGCCTTACTGGCGCACGACTAGCCAGATCCTGCCGACCGTGCACCTTTGCGGTGATTGATGCTGGCGGCTGGCGGTGGTGAGTCACGGTCAACAGTGGTCTTGGGTGACTGGGAGTATTTTGTTAACTTTTAAACTTTTTGTGGTTGAGGTGTTTTAGCTAATTTTTTAACTGTAAAGGGGCTGAGTAATTGTTATTTGGTAAACATTTAAAGGCAATTGTGTTCAAAATGACTTTTAATTAAGGGCAAAATGAGAAGAAAAAACATATTATCCCGATAATGTTTTAATAACACCCTCTAACAAGATAATCAGATTACATCCCATATTACCAACAGTAAACACTATTTACAATAAAAAATTACCGTAATATCTTATAATTTGCAAACCAAACATAGAAATCTTGCAAAATAAACGAATATTACCCCCTATCCAAATGGCCCATAAGTGGTGTTTATTTCATGGATTTTAAAGAGAAATACGAATGAGGATTGGATGTAAATGAAATGGATTGAGATAATATACGAAGAAATGAAACATGATTATATTGCTTCAAATGAAAATACCCTCTGGTTTAAATGAGTATACATGTATAATTTATTTTTAACATAAATTTTGTGTATACAATGCATGCGTCTTTACATGAATTACCTAACATCACAAACAATTCCTCTCTTAACCATACTGAAACAGCCCATATAAACTCATTCAATCTCTTCATAATTTGATCACAAACCAAAAATGTCTATAATAGCTGAAGTACCAGGCTTCCTCCAAGTCTTTGCTGATGGTTCTGTTCAACGCTTTGCTCCTGAAATAGCTCCTGCCTCAGCTGAATCATTCAATGGATACAGGTCTAAGGATGTCATCATTCACACTTCTAAGCCAATCACTGCAAGGATTTTCCTTCCTGATACTACCACTACAACTACCACTACAACTACCACCCTTCCCATTCTCCTTTATTTTCATGGTGGTGGATTTTGCATTGGCTCAACCACTTGGCTTGGCTACCATTATTTCCTTGGAGACTTCTCTGTTGCATCACAATCCATTGTCCTTTCCATTGACTACCGTTTGGCGCCGGAGAATCGCCTCCCCATAGCTTATGAAGATTGTTATTCCTCGCTTGATTGGTTATGTCAACAAGTAAAATCTGAACCATGGCTTGCTCAAGCTGATATTTCTCGTGTGTTTCTCTCAGGTGACAGTGCTGGAGGGAACATTGCACATCATGTTGCAGTCAGAGCATTGCGGAACAAAGCTCTTGATGTTAAAATCAAAGGGTTGTTATTGATACATCCTTATTTTAGCAGTGAAAGGAGAACTCAAAAAGAGATGGCTGATGGGGTTGGTGAGCATGTGGCCATGAATGATTTGTTCTGGAGATTAAGCATACCGGAAGGGTCAAATCGTGATTATTTTGGGTGTAATTTTGAGACAGAAGAAATGTGTGTGGAAGAATGGAGTCAATTTCCAGCAGTGGTGGTTTATGTTGCTGGGTTGGATTTTTTGAAGGAAAGGGGGATCATGTATGCAGAGTTTTTGCAGAATAAAGGATTGAAGGAGGTGAGAGTGGTGGAAGCTGAGAAGGAGTCGCATGTGTTTCATGTGTTTTACCCTGAATCTGAGGCAACTCGTTTGCTTCAACGACAAATGTCCGAGTTTATGAAGAGCTATTAGTTAGAATCTTAAAAAGCTATGCCTGGCCAGTGTATCCAGAAAGCATTTCTAATAAAATCAAGATTCAGTTCAAATTTACAGTACTTTCACTCATGAATGTCCAACCATTTAGAATCTGTCATGATCATTAAATTCTTGCCAAGTAAAAATAATGGGAATGGAAAAAAGAGAATAATTGTAATTTAGAGGCAAACTATACACATTTGTACTTATACAGGTAGAAACAGGTACTTTTTGAGGGCAGTGCAAATGCTCAACTATACAACTATGTACTTGATACTTCACTCATCAAAAGTACTCATAAAACCACCAACGAAGCCAGCTCCATTGCAGTTCCCACACAGCATATCCTTTTTCCCTCTGCAACAAAACTTAGGAGTCACTCAAGCAAATCAAACACAAGAAAAGATGAAAATAAATTAAAGAAAATCAGTAACATTACCCACAAAGCCAACATGAATCACCAGCCTTGAATTGTCCATTGAAGAGATCAACAGAGTTCACCCCACTACCTTTGCATTGAGAGCATAAAACTGCACCTGGTATTATTATAAATCTAAATAAGCAGCATTTACATTTACTCTTTCTTCTATTTCTAAAATAAAAAAAAATAAAAAAAAAAATAAAAATCTGCCCACAAATGCCAATAGAGCTCACCATTTCCATCACAATCTGCACAGATAACACTTTTTGGCTTTGTGTTTCCATTATTTGCTGCAGCCTATTTTTGATTCAGTAAAAAAGTTAATTGTTGTTGCAAACAACACATCAATTTAGAGAAGCTTAAACTGGCAAAGGAGAAAAGTCTAACCTTGGCTTTAACAGAACGGAGTTTACTAGTTGTAGAATTTGGTGACACATAATGAATCCAGTACAGCTTTTCATGTGTCCCTGTGCATCAAGATTTATGAAACAACTGTTAAGAATAAAGAAGTTAAAATTAAGAAAGAGGGAGTTGTTACTTGGTTTGAGTGTTGGTCTTGAGGGAAGGGCAGGGGCAAAAGATGAAGCAGAAGCCATTGGTTGTAATGGTCGGCAATCAAAATATCAAGGATTCGAATAGATTGAAAGAGAACTCAGTCTGTTTGTGTGTATGTAGCTTCGCTCCGAGCCCAGTTTGTCGTCACCAAAGCTTCCACTAGCCCAACCCAACTTGACCTATATTTTAGATCAAATAAATTCAATAATTCACGATATTTGTTCCATAAACTATTTAGTTAAATCAAGAAACAATTTTCTTTTATTTATTCTCATTTTTTTTTTGAGAAATAAAAAAATAAAAAAAATCTGTTTTATTGGGCTAAACAGCCCAACTCATTGGAAGGTGGATTGAATATGGTAATAAAAAACAATTTTTAGGGGCATTTTGGGCCACATATCCGAGTTCGCCTTTTATATAAGACGCTCCGCATCCCGTAACCCTAATTCACTCTCTCTCTCTTCGACCTCTTCACTCTAAAATATTTTCCCTTTTTTTTGGCTAATTTTTTTCCTTTGCAGCAGTCTTTCAAATTTTCCCCCTCCCCAAACCCTAACCCTAAAACCTCAAAACATCTTCTAACAGGCTAGCAGGTACAACTTTAATTTCCCTCTATTTACTCCCCAATCTCCCACTTACTTGTTTTTTCTTCTGTAGTTCAAAACCCTAGTTTCCCCTAATTTGTTGTCGATTTGATATATATCACCGGGGATTCGTTTGATTTAACGATTGAAACCCTAATTAATGAAGATCTAATATCATTTTCTAATTTTGTTTTACAGGATGGGAGAGACCAGGGACAACGAGTACGAAGATGAGCTTCTCGACTATGAGGAAGAAGATGCCCAAGCTCCTGACTCTGTCGCTACCAAAGCCAATGGCGAAGCCGCCAAGAAGTCAGTACTATATTCGTTTTTATTTCTATATTCGTTTATTATTTTTGCCAAGATTCTGGTTTGATTTGGTCTGGAAAGGTTTTAATGTCTTTATTGCATTTGTTGCTCTTTTAAGTTTTGAAATAGTAATTGAGCTTGAAATTGCTGTAAAACATTATTTTAATGTTAATTACTAGTTTAAAATTCTCCTTTCATTTTGAGCAGGGGCTATGTTGGAATTCACAGTTCAGGATTCAGGGACTTCCTTTTGAAGCCAGAGCTTCTTCGAGCAATCGTGGACTCTGGATTTGAGCATCCATCAGAAGGCAAATTACCATCTCCGTTTTTGCCTATTAAATTTCATTGTTTTGGAATTTAATGATTTTCCTTTAATTTTTTTATTTTATGTTACAAGTTACATATTTAAAGGATTTTGGATCATTGCTGATGTGATATTGTGTGTTTAGTCAATCCGTTTTTGAACCTACAATGTGGAAACATCTTAGGTGTACATTGAGGTTGATATGTGAATAACATATATTGCGTAAACTAACTGTTTTTTTTAATGTATACCTATTATATTTATGAGGTTTCTGATTTCTGATTTAGAAGTTCAGGGATGTTTGCTGATAAGCATGCTCCTTTTTTAAACCGATTGTTGTATAGAGTGGCTCTCTGTTTCGTTTCCTCTTAACTAAACTTGATAGAATTTGTGTGGTTTTGCATGACTTGTGCCAGTGTTTTTTTTTTTTTTTAGATTAACTTAGGTACTTCATCCACTGTTTCTAAAGTCATGTTCTTATGTTGTTTTAGGTAATATACTACTATCACTATTGATTTGGGAGCAGTATTGTGGTTTGGTAAACCTTTCATCACGGAGGTTATATTTTACTTACCAACGGTTCCTTCGATACGATTTTCTTTTGGTTCTTCATCAGTGCAACATGAATGTATACCTCAAGCTATTCTGGGCATGGACGTGATTTGCCAAGCTAAATCTGGGATGGGGAAGACCGCAGTTTTTGTTCTGTCAACTTTACAGCAAACTGAGCCAAACCCGGGCCAAGTTACTGCACTTGTTTTATGTCATACTAGGGAGTTAGCTTATCAGGTATGTCCAAGTTCTTTAGTGTTTGTGTGGAATTTATATTTGTTTCTTGACTTGATATGCTTTTCCTCATTTTTGTTACCACATTTTGCAGATCTGCCATGAGTTTGAGAGGTTCAGTACTTACCTGCCTGATATAAAGGTTGCTGTCTTTTATGGTGGTGTTAATATCAAAAGTCACAAAGACTTGCTGAAAAATGAATGTCCTCAAATTGTTGTTGGCACACCTGGAAGAATATTAGCTCTTGCAAGAGATAAAGACCTCTCATTGAAGAATGTGAGGCATTTTATCCTTGATGAATGTGACAAGATGCTTGAATCACTTGGTATGCCCTCCAGCCCTATCCCCAAAATTGAACTATATTATTTTTGTTTCCTGGAAATGTAGAATGTCTCAATTCCTTTTGTAACTATCTTGTAATTAGTTCCACTTATATTCTTCTTATGTTTTTGTGTTTTACAGACATGAGAAGAGATGTGCAGGAGATATTCAAGATGACTCCTCATGATAAGCAAGTTATGATGTTTTCAGCAACACTCAGCAAAGAAATCCGCCCGGTCTGCAAGAAATTTATGCAAGATGTAATGTCTTATGGCCAGAACTACTTGAATTTAGAAGTCCAATCTTTTTTATTAATGCCAACTTTCTACGAGAGTTCCATAGAAGTTTTATAATGCGGTGGTTCCATGACCATATACTGCCATTGGTGTTTGTCTATCCGGTGGCAATTTTTAGTCGGAAAGCGGGAAATCCAGTCTTATAGGTGAGATTAGTGTGTAATTGGGAAATAAAGACAAGTTGCAATCCGTTAGGATATCTCAAAGTTGTGGGATATGTTATAATGCTGAACATGTGTTCAGTTAGGCTTTTGTTTGTATTTATTTTTCTTTTTAATAGGCTACATGTTGGGTGTTGGTTCAAATTTTCTGTTGTTGAGAGGGGTGGTTTGGGTTTTGGGGTAGGTGGGTGGGCTTCTCTGGGTTGTGCTGTCTTGTCGTAGGTTATATTTAGCAACAGTGGCTCTTCTTGCGGTGACCAAAAAAGTTATCTACAAGGAGACAAATCAGATTGAAGGAATCTCAATTGAAGGGATGTGCATCCATCATACATTTCGTACTGGATTCCATTAACTTGAGGAAGGTTCCTAATATGATTTACTGTGACATTTGTTCCTTTCAGCCCATGGAAATATATGTTGACGACGAGGCCAAGTTGACTCTTCATGGTCTTGTACAGGTATGTGTCACGGAGCTTTATACTTTAGCTTTTCTACTATTTCATGGCATTCGTTTTTCATCTCACATATACTATTTGAAATAGCACTACATCAAATTGAGCGAGCTGGAGAAGAATCGGAAGCTGAATGACCTCCTTGATGCATTGGACTTTAATCAAGTTGTTATTTTTGTTAAAAGTGTGAGCAGAGCTGCGGAGTTGAACAAGTTACTGGTTGAATGTAATTTTCCCTCTATATGCATCCATTCTGGAATGTCCCAGGAGGAAAGGTTTGTACATGGTTTGCAAATAATTTTTTGCCTTCTGCAATTATCTTTGGTGGTCAACTGTAACCATTTGCTGTGGTAAATTTTTTTGAATGCTTGTTTATGTTCTATAAATGTTGGGAGTTCTATTGGTCTTGTTAATTTTCTTGTCTAGTACTATATTTGTTAATATACTTCATCTCTTTATTTTACTCTTTTTGTGCATCCAGTAGATGCATCAATGCCCTTGAAGAGTAAAGGTAAAGTCAATGTTTTAGCAAATATGTAATGCATTGAATGTGCCATGATTTCCATCATAGCAGTGAATGTGGAGGGCTCAGTGAAAAGGCCAAACAGATACCAACAGATTAAATTTAGATGTAATTGTGAGAGGCAAATATGTGTAGTATTAAGTTTCCCTCTGAATGGTCATTGTCCATGTGATTATTTGGAATGTTTGACAACATAGGTTTTCTGGTGAACTGCTTTTATTGTGTTTGATTGTATTTTTTTTAAAAACTCTTGAGATCTGGTCGTCCAGGTTTGATATATATTTTTCCTTGGTAATTGTTCCCAATAAATTAATATAAATATTTAACATCTTTGACATATGATTTATCTTGGGTAATATATAACTGTTGTTTCTTTGTCTCTTCACAATTTTTTTTTTTCCTGTATTTTTGGTTCTCATTTTGTTTTATGTATTATTTATCTGCAGTGAATATTTCTCCATGTGTATTTTGCCACTAGATTATTTGTACATTATTTGGCTTATTTTTTCATTGTTTTGTATTTGTCAATGTTTATATAAAATTTCCCACTATTTTGGCTAGATGGTTTGAGTAAGTTCCCGTGTATTTGTCTTTGTTTGCAGAAATTCAGCTTTGTTGATATAATATTTTTCTGTCGTCTTGTAGGTTTAAGTCTCTGCTTTTCATATTCCAGTTGAAATTATCAATTATGCTTTGTATGTTGGATCTTTTGTATTCTCTATTATTTTAATCCCAATGTCAAATAACCAAACTTTCTACTGCCCTGTTGCATGATGTTGTTATCGTGTGCTTAATGTTTAAGTAGCGTATTTTTCTCTGAATGGTAATATCAGGTGTTTAAATCAGTGGACATAATTATATAATTTTGTTTGGTAGTTTTTCCTTGTTTCAGAACTAAAACTTTTGTTGATAAGGCTTTATATGATAGGAGGCCCTGTTTTTGTCAGCAACATTAGTTTGTAATACTGTTTGTTTTGCCGTGTACTTTAATGGTTTTGTTTTGTACTGCAGGAGTGTTACTTTTAAGCTGTTTAAATGAGCATTTACAAAAAAAAAATGTTTTATCTCCTTTCTTAGCTTTCAGTCAACTTTATCATCTTTTTGTGCTTTTTTACTTGTCATTCTGGTCATAACTAGCAAAGGCAAACCTTCTGTTACTAGCGTACAATTGGCGTCTTTATTTTGTTTCCATCTAATTCTGTTTTGTGAGTTTCTTGTCAGTGGAGGTAGCAGAAAATTGATTGTTGAGCATTTAGAAATGTTGCGACCTTGGGTGTTATGGTTTTGAATTTTCTTTGGGTTCGAGCTTCTCGAAACATATTCAACAAAATACAACGAAGAATCCAGTATATGTTTTATTTCAAGCAGTATATGTAGTTGTGATCCTTGTTTTGATGTGGTTTCTTTTATTATGAATTTAGTGAGATGCTGATAATATTCTTTAACTAGATTTTGGCTTGTAGTAGTATTTCTTTTAGTATACTAAGGGTTCCATCTTTGACCAAATTGCTCTCACTTCATTGTGTGGATGCGTTGGTTGACACGAATAAAGTAGAAAAAATTACATTTTTGGAAAATATTTTTGTGTTGCCTGTGAAAATTTAAATAAGCACATTAGCATTTAAACTATTAATGGTTGTGGATTTTTGAGCTGACTGATAATTGCTTGTAGGTTGACGCGGTACAAGGGTTTCAAGGAGGGGAACAAGAGGATTCTTGTGGCCACGGATTTGGTTGGAAGAGGAATTGACATTGAGCGTGTTAATATTGTCATCAATTATGACATGCCAGATTCAGCTGATACCTATCTTCACAGGGTAGGCTCAATTTAAGTTTTCACTTATTTGTGTCAAACAATTGTGTCTTAGCTTTCAGCTTATGCCATTGGCTGGATCTTGCAGGTTGGTAGAGCTGGTAGGTTTGGTACTAAGGGTCTTGCGATTACTTTCGTCTCCTCTGCATCTGATTCCGACATTCTTAATCAGGTTTCAAATCTATGTTGTGTTTTTCGTTTTTATGAAAAACATCTATATTTGCTTATTATCTGTGTGTTCGTATCTTAATTTTGTTGGTCAATTGACTGTAGGTTCAAGCAAGGTTTGAGGTGGATATAAAGGAACTTCCAGAGCAGATTGATACATCTACATACAGTATGTTTCATGCTGCTTAAGTTTTTGGTGTAGTAATTTAGCTTATATTGTTTTGAAATCATGTTTGTAAGTTATAACCGCAAAGAGTAATATTTCATTCGGTATTCTAACAGATCTAAAATTGTTGTTTTTTAATAGTGCCATCATAAACGAGGATGGATGGAGGCTTTTTGAAGCGAAATTCGGATGTAGGGTGCTGCAGCCCTTTAATGTATCTCTTGAGACTAAAGTCCAATGGTCGACATATATGGCCTTGGAGATTCCAAATCGGATAGATTCTCGTATTCTCTGTCGTTTTATACTTCTTGGTAGAGTCACGTCTATCTAAGACCTCGATTCTGCTGCTTTTGGGAATTTTACCCCCACTACTACTAGTTTATTTTATTTTTTTGTTGTAGAATTGCTTATGAATTCGGGTGTTAATTTGGTGTTGTTGATTAGATTCTTAGACAAAATTCAGTCATGATATTTTATGTTTTAATTTACTACGTTGGGATTTTTAGGTGCCGGAAGTGAATTAAATTGTAGTTTACTAGAGGGATGGTTTCTACTTCCTAATTTATATTTAAATTTGTGGGATTCAACTAAATATCTTTGTAAATGTCTTTCATTAAGTGCTTTTTTTCTTCTGCATTTTAAAATACTTAAAACGTAGTTCAATCAAATTTTTACCTAGTTAATTTTTGTTTTTTTAAATATTTACATCACTGTTTTAAAACTTGACCCGAGCCTTGACCCGGTCAAGGGTTTGGGTTAAGGTTGATCTATCCAATTGGTTGGATCGGTGATGTCATTATAATTAAGTCAGTTAAAATTCAAAACGATGTCGTTTTAAAGACGGTATTATTGATTTTTTAAAACTTACTAAGAAAACCTTAAATTCCTTACTCTTATTCTTCTTTTTCATTTCTTTCTCTCTTCTTCAACTGCCTCCCTTTCTTCTCTCCCTTGCATCTTTTTTCGATCTACCATGGCTACCATTTGGACCTCAATGGTGTAGGCTTTGTGGTTGTTTTGCCATGATGTAGATTTCGTGGCCGCTTTGCCACAGTGTAGGCTTTGTGGCTGTTGGATCTTTTCATCACAGTGAAGGCTTTGTGGCTGTTAGATCTATCTGCCACGGTGAAGGCTTCATGGCTGTTGGATTTCCTTTTTCTTTTCTTCTATCGTCTTGTTTTTTCTCTCCCTTGCATATGTTTTTTTTGATCTACGATGGCTAGTTGGCTACCTACGCATTTTGTTGGCTTTTGACATCTTTACCTAAGGTTTTCTCGGAAATATTGAATGGGTTGCAATTTGTTGGTTGGACTGTTTGGTATTTGTGTAATTATTCTTTTTCATCCAACAATCCATGAATTTAAATTTTGAAACATTGACTGTTATTATAAAATGTTGTGATATGTTAATAAGCATTTAAATTATGATAAAAATTGAAGATGGAGAATTGGAAATTGGAAAAGGGGAAATTGGTTTTAGGGATTTTTGGTGACTTAGTTGTGCCACCGGTCGGTTGAGCAGGTGGTTTGTCAGTTGTCACTATTCCACCGGTCCAAATCTGGTTTATTTCGGGTTAATTGTTAAAAACAAGTTTAGAAGGTTTTTGGATCGGTGTTGGTGCCAGCTCCCAGTCGGCCCAGGTTTTAAAAGAGTGATTTACATCTCAATGACCAGATGTTGGTGTACGGAATTATAGCTCTTTGGACTTGTTGATTTCATCTATAGGTAGGCTTTAAGAATAAGACGTTTGGTGGTTGTGAGATGGTAGAATGCGATTTCGGATGTTGAGTAATTATTGTTGTAAATTTATACGTAGCAAGAATTCTATAGCGGTTGTCCTAAGTGAAAGTAACTATATTGAAGCGATAAGGGAGTTGAGCATTCGAATTTCGAAGTCGTTTTAAAACGTTGGCATCGTGAGTCTTATATGGAGCCTATGGGGCATCATAGAATTCGCAGCTTAATAAGGCATTTGCAATGTCGATGACTATGTGCAATCATGTCAATCTCCCAACTACTGGTGGTTTCATTATCAAAATTTGATTCCGTTTGTTGTATATTGCTTTGCTTTAATTAAACTGCACTTTTAAATTAGGATTTGGCGACTGGTTATGTTTTGAAATTGAAAGTTGTCACCTTAACCGTTTTATGACTTATTTTTCTGGTTTACTAAACAAATTATGCTTATAATAATTGTTAGTGCTATAAATCACATTTATGGCCACTGGTCATGTTGATTATACAACTACCACCCTTCCCTTCTCCTTTATTTTCATGGTGGTGGATTTTGCATTGGCTCAACCACTGGGTTGGCTACCTTATTTCCTTGGAGAATTCTCTGTTGCATCACAATCCATTGTCCTTTCCATTGACTACCGTTTGGCGCCGGAGAATCGCCTCCCATAGCTTATGAAGATTGTTATTCTGCTTGATGGTTATGTCAACAGTAAAATCTGAACCATGGCTTGCTCAAGCTGATATTTCTCGGTGTTTCTCTCAGGTGACTGCGGAGGGAACATTGCACATCATGTTGCAGTCAGAGCATTGCGGAACAAAGCTCTTGATGTTAAAATCAAAGGGTTATTGATACATCCTTATTTTAGCAGTGAAGGAGGAACAAAAAGAGATGGCTGATGGGTGTGGAGCATGTGGCCATGAATGATTTGTTCTGGAGATTAAGCATACCGGAAGGGTCAAATCGTGATTATTTTGGGTGTAATTTTGAGACAGAAGAAATGTGTGTGGAAGAATGGAGTCAATTTCCAGCGTGGTGGTTATGTTGCTGGGTTGGATTTTTTGAAGGAAGGGGATCATGTATGCAGAGTTTTTGCAGAATAAAGGATTGAAGGAGGTGAGAGTGGTGGAAGCTGAGAAGGAGTCGATGTGTTTCAGTGTTTTACCCTGAATCTGAGGCAACTCGTTTGCTTCAACGACAAATGGCGAGTTATGAAGAGCTATTAGTTAGATCTTAAAAAGCTATGACTGGCCAGTGTATCCAGAAAGCATTTCTAATAAAATCAAGATCAGTTTTAAATTTACAGTATTTCCTCATTTATTCCACCATTTAGAATTTTCATGATATTAAATTCTTGCCAAGTAAAAATAATGGGAATGGAAAAAAGAGAATAATGTAATTTAGAGGCAAACTATACACATTTGTACTATACAGGTAGAAACAGCACTTTTTGAGGGCAGTGCAAATGCTCAACCATACAACTATGTACTTGATACTTCACTCATCAAAAGTACTCATAAAACCACCAACGAAGCCAGCTCCATTGCAGTTCACACAGCTATCCTTTTTCCCTCTGCAACAAAACTTAGGAGTCACTCAAGCAAATCAAACACAAGAATAGATGAAAATAAATTAAGAAAATCAGTAACATTACCCACAAGCCAACATGAATCACCAGCCTTGAATTGTCCATTGAAGAGATCAACAGAGTTCACCCCACTACCTTGCATTGAGAGCAATAACTGCACTGGTATTATTATAATCTAAATAAGCTGCATTTACATTTACTCGTTCTTCTATTTCTAAAATAAATATAAAAAAAAAAAAAAAAATCTGCCCACAAATGCCAATAGAGCTCACCATTTCATCACAATCTGCCAGATAACACTTTTTGGCTTTGTGTTTCCATTATTTGCTGCAGCCTATTTTGATACAGTAAAAAAGTTAATTGTTGTTGCAAACAACACATCAATTTAGAGAAGCTTAAACTGGCAAAGGAGAAAGTACTAACCTTGGCTTTAACAGAACGGAGTTTACTAGTTGTAGAATGGGGACACATAATGAATCCAGTACAGCTTTTCAGTGTCCCTGTGCATCCAGATTTATGAAACAACGTTAAGAATAAAGAAGTTAAAATTAAGAAAAGGAGTTGTACTTGGTTTGAGTGTTGGTCTTGAGGGAAGGGCAGGGGCAAAAGATGAAGCAGAAGCCATTGGTTGTAATGGTCGGCAATCAAATATCAGGATTGATAGATTGAAAGAGAACTCAGTCTGTTTGGTGTATGTAGCTTCGCTCCGAGCCCAGTTTGTCGTCACCAAGCTTCCACTAGCCCAACCCAACTTGACTATATTTAGTCAAATAAATTCAATAATTCACGATATTGTTCCATAAACTATTTAGTTAAATCAAGAAACAATTTTCTTTATTTATCTCTTTTTTTTTTGAGAAATAAAAAAAAAAAATCTGTTTTATTGGGCTAAACAGCCCAACTCATTGGAGGTGGATGAATATGGTAATAAAAAACAATTTTTAGGGGCATTTTGGCCACATGTCCGAGTTCGCCTTTTATATAAGACGCTCCGAATCCGTAACCCTAATTCACCTCTCTCTTCGACCTCTTCACTATAAATATTTTCCCTTTTTTTTGGCTAATTTTTTCCTTTGCAGCAGTCTTTCAAATTTTCCCCCTCCCCAAACCCTAACCCTAAAACCTCAAAACATCTTCTAACAGGCTAGCAGGTACAACTTTAATTTCCCTCTATTTACTCCAATCTCCCACTTACTTGTTTTTTTCTGTAGTTCAAAACCCTAGTTTCCCCTAATTTGTTGTCGATTTGTATATATCACCGGGGATTCGTTTGATTTAGTTGAAACCCTAATTAATGAAGATCTAATATCATTTTCGATTTTGTTTTACGGATGGGAGAGACCAGGGACAACGAGTACGAAGATGAGCTTCTCGACTATGAGGAAGAAGATGCCCAAGCTCCTGACTCTGTCGCTACCAAAGCCAATGGCGAAGCCGCCAAGAAGTCAGTACTATATTCGTTTTTATTTCTATATTCGTTATTATTTGCCAAGATTCTGGTTGATTTGGTCTGGAAAGGTTTAATGTCTTTATTGCATTTGTTGCTCTTTTAAGTTTTGAAATAGTAATTGAGCTTGAAATTGCTGTAAAACATTATTTAATGTTAATTACTAGTTTAAAATTCTCCTTTCATTGAGCAGGGGCTATGTTGGAATTCACAGTTCAGGATTCAGGGACTTCTTTTGAAGCCAGCGTTTCGAGCAATCGTGGACTCGGATTTGAGCCATACAGAAGGCAAATTACCATCTCCGTTTTTGCCATTAAATTTCATTGTTTTGGAATTTAATGATTTTCCTTTAATTTTTTTATTTTATGTTACAAGTACATATTTAAAGGATTTTGGATCATTGCTGATGTGATATTGTGTGTTTAGTCAATCCGTTTTGAACCTACAATGTGGAAACATCTTAGGTGTACATTGAGGTTGATATGTGAATAACTATATTGCGTAAACTAACTTTTTAATGTATACATATATTTATGAGGTTTCTGATTTTAAAGTTCAGGGATGTTTGCTGATAAGCATGCTCCTTTTTTAACCGATTGTTGTATAGAGTGGCTCTGTTTTCGTTCCTTTAACTAAACTTGATAGAATTTGTGTGGTTTGCATGACTTGTGCAGTGTTTTTTTTTTTTTTTTTTAAATTAACTTAGGTACTTCATCCACTGTTTCTAAAGTCATGTTCTTATGTGTTTTTAGGTAATATACTACTATCACTATTGATTTGGGAGCAGTATTGTGGTTTGGTAAACCTTTCATCACGGAGGTTATATTCTTACCAACGGTTCCTTCGATACGATTTTCTTTGGTTCTTCATCAGTGCAACATGAATGTATACTCAAGCTATTCTGGGCATGGACGTGATTTGCCAAGCTAAATCTGGGATGGGAAGACGCAGTTTTGTTCTGTCAACTTTACAGCAAACTGAGCCAAACCCGGGCAAGTTACTGCACTTGTTTATTGTCATACTAGGGAGTTAGCTTATCAGGTAGTCCAAGTTCTTTAGTGTTTGTGTGGAATTTATATTTGTTCTCACTTGATATGCTTTTCCTCATTTTTGTTACCACATTTTGCAGATCTGCCATGAGTTTGGAGGTTCAGTACTTACCTGCCCGATATAAAGGTTGCTGTCTTTTATGGTGGTGTTAATATCAAAAGTCACAAAGACTTGCTGAAAAATGAATGTCCTCAAATTGTTGTTGGCACACCTGGAAGAATATTAGCTCTGCAAGAGTAAAGACCTCTCATTGAAGAATGTGAGGCATTTTATCCTTGATGAATGTGACAAGATGCTTGAATCACTTGGTATGCCCTCCAGCCCTATCCCAAAATTGAACTATATTATTTTGTTTCCTGGAAATGTAGAATGTCTCAATTCCTTTTAAGTATCTTGTAATTAGTTCACTATATTCTTCTTATGTTTTTGTGTTTACAGACATGAGAAGAGATGTGCAGGAGATATTCAAGATGACTCCTCATTAAGCAAGTTATGATGTTTTCAGCAACACTCAGCAAAGAAATCCGCCGGTCTGCAAGAAATTTATGCAAGATGTAATGTCTTATGGCCAGAACTACTTGAATTTAGAAGTCCAATCTTTTATTAATGCCAACTTTCTACGAGTTTCCATAGAATTTTATAATCGGTGGTTCCATGACCATATACTGCCATTGGTGTTTGGTCTCGGTGGCAATTTTTAGTCGGAAAGCGGGAAATCCAGTCTTATAGGTGAGATTAGTGTGTAATTGGGAAATAAAGACAATTGCAACCGTTAGGATATCTCAAAGTTGTGGGATATGTTATAATGCGAACATGTGTCAGTTAGGCTTTTGTTTGTATTTATTTTTCTTTTTATAGGCTACATGTTGGGTGTTGGTTCAAATTTTCTGTTGTTGAGAGGGTGGTTTGGGTTTTGGGTGGTGGGTGGGCTTCTCTGGGTTGTGCTGTCTTGTCGTAGGTTATATTTAGCAACAGTGGCTCTTCTTGCGGTGACCAAAAAAGTTATCTACAAGGAGACAAATCAGATTGAGGAATCTCAATTGAAGGGATGTGCACTCATCATACATTTCGTACTGGATTCCTTAACTTGAGGAAGGTTCTAATATGATTTACTGTGACATTTGTTCCTTTCAGCCCATGGAAATTATGTTGCGACGAGGCCAAGTTGACTCTTCATGGTCTTGTACAGGTATGTGTCCAGGAGCTTTATACTTTAGCTTTTTTGCTATTTCATGGCATTCGTTTTTACTATCACTCATATAATTTTGAAATAGCACTACATCAATGAGCGAGCTGGAGAAGAATCGGAAGCTGAATGACCTCCTTGATGCATTGGACTTTAACAAGTTGTATTTTTGTAAAAGTGTGAGCAGAGCTGCGGAGTTGAACAAGTTACGGTGAATGTAATTTTCCCTCTATATGCACATTCTGGAATGTCCCAGGAGGAAAGGTTTGTACATGGTTTGCAAATAATTTTTTGCTTTTTGCAATTATCTTTAGTGGTCAACTGTAACCATTTGCTGTGGTAAATTTTTTTGAATGCTTGTTTATGTTCTAAAATGTTGGAGTTCTATGGTGTTGTTAATTTTCTTGTCTAGTACTTATTTGTTAATATACTCATCTCTTTATTTTACTCTTTTGTGCATCCAGTAGATGCAACAATGCCCTTGAAGAGTAAAGGTAAAGTCAATGTTTTAGCAAATATGTAATGCATGAATGTGCCATGATTTCCATCATAGCATGAATGTGGAGGGCTCAGTGAAAAGGCCAAACAGATACCAACAGATTAAATTTAGATGTAATGTGAGGGCAAATATGTGTGTATTAAGTTTCCCTCTGAATGGTCATTGTCCATGTGATTATTTGGAATGCTTGACAACATAGGTTTTCTGGTGAACTGCTTTTATGTGTTTGATTGTATTTTTTTTAAAAACTCAGAGATCTGGTCGTCCAGGTTTGATATATATTTTTCCTTGGTAATTGTTCCCAATAATTAATATAAATATTTAAATCTTTGACATATGATTTATCTTGGGTAATATAAAACTGTTGTTTTTGTCTCTTCACAATTTTTTTTTTTCTGTATTTTTGGTTCTCATTTTGTTTTATGTATTATTTATCTGCAGTGAATTTTTCTCCATGGTATTTTGCCACTAGATTATTTGTACATTATTTGGCTTTTTTTCATTGTTTTGATTTGTCAATGTTTATATAAAATTTCCCACTATTTTGGGTAGATGGTTTGAGTAAGTTCCCGTGTATTTGTCTTGTTGCAGAAATCAGCTTTGTGATAAAATATTTTTCGTCGTCTTGAGGTTTAAGTCTCTGCTTTCATATTCCAGTTGAAATTATCAATTATGCTTGGATGTTGGATCTTTGTATTCTCTATTATTTAATCCCAATGTCAAATACAAAACTTTCTACTGCCCTGTTGCATGATGTGTTATCGTGTGCTTAATGTTTAAGTAGCGTATCTTTCTCTGAATGGTAATATCAGGTTTTAAATCAGTGGACATAATTTATAATTTTGTTGGTAATTTTCTGCTTCAGAACTAAAACTTTGTTGATAAGGCTTATATGATAGGACTGTTTTTGTCAGCAACATTAGTTTGAATACTGTTGTTTTGCCGTGTACTTTAATGATTTTGTTTGTACTGCAGGAGTGTTACTTTTAAGCTGTTTAAATGAGCATTTAAAAAAAACAAAAAAAAAAAAATGTTATCCTTTCTTAGCTTTCAGTCAACTTTATCATCTTTTTGTGCTTTTTACTTGTCATTCTGGTCATAACTAGCAAAGGCAAACCTTCTGTTACTAGGTACAATTGGCTTTATTTTGTTTCATCTAATTCTGTTTGTGAGTTTCTTGTCAGTGGAGGTAGCAGAAAATTGATTGTTGAGCATTTAGACTTTGGGTGTTATGGTTTTGAATTTTCTTTGGGTTCGAGCCTCTCGAAACATATTCAACAAAATACAACGAAGAATCCAGTATATGTTTTATTTCAAGCAGTATATGTAGTTGTTATCCTTGTTTTGATGTGTTTCTTTTTATGAATTTAGTGAGATCTGATATATTTTTTAACTAGATTTTGGCTTGTAGTAGTATTTCTTTAGTATACTAAGGGTTCCATC